GAAACAACAGATGTTTCCAAGGGTAAAGGTAAGACAGTAGAATTATTTGGAATCCAAGACTTGTCTTCATTTACACCAATAGACTCCCCCTGAAGAGAAGTCAAGAGAAAAAATGATTGTGTTTCATAAAAAGTAACATCTATAGAAACAAAGACCTTTCGAAGAGAAGGTGAGTAGCACTTGTAACCTTTTTAAGACACATTTAACAGACTTAGGGTCAAGTTTGGACCTTTGATGTGGAGGAATATGAACAAAAACCACAGAGCCAAACAACTTTAAAGGAAGGGAAGAGAGAGCCCGAAAGGAGGGAAAAACGCGGGTAAGGCAAGAATGGGAGAATGAAAATTCAGGACACGAGAGGGCATCCGATTGATGAGATATGAGGCAGTCAAGACAGCCTCCCCCCACAGGTATTTAGGGACATGCATCGTAAACAAGAGGGCTCTAACAACTTCAATGAGATGTCTATTTTTTCTTTCAGCCACCCCATTTTGTTGAGGGGTGTTAGGACAAGAACTTTGATGGATAATACCTTGCTTGGTTAGGTAATCACCAAGAACAGAATTAAAATATTCAGTACCGTTGTCAGTTCGCAGGATTTGGATAGAGGTCTGGAATTGAATTTGTACCATAGCATGAAAGTTTTTAAAAGTGACTGCTGCTTCAGACTTATCCTTTAGAAGATATACCCAGTATACTCTAGAGTGATCATCAATGAAAGTAATAAACCAACGAGTTCCAGATATATTTTTTTCACGAGCTGCCCCCCAAATATCACTATGGATCAATGTAAATGGAGACGAAACATGATAATCCTTGAGGGAATAAGAAAACACGAGAGTGTTTTGCAAACTGACAATCATCACAAAAAAAGGAACTTGATTTTTTATTGATAAATAAGTTTGGAAACAGCTTTTGAAGATAAAAGAAATTTGGGTGTCCTAAACGACGATGCCACAACAAAACATCATTATAATCGTCTGATAAACATCAAGAGTGATTTGCAAAAAATCTCTTTTCAGGAGAATCTTCTTCAAAATAGTAAAGCCCTTCTTCCTCTCTAGCATTGCCAATCATCAGTCCCGAATCATGTTCCTGAAAAACACAGGTTTTGGCAGAGAATTTAGCAACACAATGCAATTCAGAGGAAAGTTTACTAATAGAGATAAGGTTACAAGTAAGAGAAGGGACATGAAGGACAAAATTCAGAGTAATATGTTCAGAGAGCTTAATGGATCCCTTTCCCGCAATATTGGAGAAACTACCATCGGCAGTTCTTATTCGTGACGGGTGATAATAAGGGGTATAAGAACAAAACAAGGATGCATTACCTGTCATATGATCAGAAGCTCCTGAATCAAGAATCCGACGACTACTACGATCAACATGGAATGCCATACCTTGTTGAACAACATGACTAGTTGCCTCAGCAGATTGGGCCATCACCTTCTGGAATTGCTCATACTGAGCTTTAGGGATGAATACACCATCGGACTTTGGAGAGGCACGAGACTCCTCACCCTTATCATCAGAAGAGATTTGATACGCACGACTCTTGTTCAACCCCTTTGTTTTCCAGTTTGGTGGTTTTCCATGAATTTCCCAATATTTTTTGCGAGTGTGACTACTCTTATTGCAATGAGAACACCATCGGTCAGAACGTTTTGCATCACTAGGGGGACGAGGAGTATGTTTTGCTACTAAGGCAGATACATCGGAGGATTTAGAGTTCTTGTCTCCCAACATTACCTTTCGGCGAAGTTCCTCCCGTCGTACCACAGAAAAAGCAGCTGCAATGGAAGGTAACGGGTTCTGCCCCAATATCCTTCCACAAACATCGTCAAGATCACGATTAAGGCCAACAAGAAAATCCTAGAGACGTCTTTTCTCTAAGTAACTTTTAAACCTTGCATTAGCTTCTAAACCTTGAAGATCTGCTGCATCATAAAGATCCAACTCCTGCCGCAGAGTTTTTAAAGCAAGAAAGTATTCAGTAACAGACATCCCCTCTTGATGTAACTCTCTTACCTTGGTGTTGAGTTCAAAAGCCTGAGAAGCATTGCCCAGGTCAGAATAATATTCTTTAACGGCATCCCAAATTTCCTGAGCCGTATCAAGAAACAAATAAGTTTGACTGATATCAGGATCCATGGAGTTAGTCAACCAGGTCATGACCAAGGCATTTTCAGTCATCCATTTATCATAATCAGGTTCATCAGCTTCGGGTTTTTCCTTTTTTCCATCAAGATACCCCATTTTCCCTTTTGCTTGGATAAACAGCTTGACAGATTGATGCCATTGCACATAATTCTTACCGTTTAAACGGTGGTTAGTAATCTGTATAGCTGGGTTGTTTCCGGAAGACGAAGAACAGGGAAGAGGAGAGACACCGGAAACACTACCGGATGATTTGCCAGAATGCTTATTCTCAGCCTCATTATTTTCAACTTATCGTTCTAAAAAGAAGGAGAGCAACAGGTCACGCCTATTGACTTTGATAACGAAGAGGAAACAACTGGACCCAGCAAGAAAAGTGCTCCAATCGTGATTTAAACCCTCAGAACAGGAAGAGGGAAGCTAGGCGAGCAGTTCTGTGAAAGCCGCGTGACAAACGGAAGTCGGCAGGGCGGCGCGTGGCTCATACGCGCCGGCGAGGCTGATCTGCTGTGGCGGCGCGTGGCTGACGGTCCGGCGACGGGGCTGATGTGGGTCAACTCGGAAATGGCTTATGAGTCCAGTGGTGGTCTTGGTTTCGTGATTGGAGGGGTCCAGATATGGTTTCTGAGTTATAGTAGAGGAACAGTGAAAAAAAAAAATGGAAAAAGAAACGACGGAGGTTTACAAGAAGACCATAGGATAACCTGCTCTTGATACCATGTTGTAATATAAGACTGAAATGTATTTTTCATATATTGATTGACACCCAAAGAGTTCTTTATATACAGATTACAAGGTAGTTAAGGAGTTGAAGTAATAAAGAAAATACACAGTAACCGAAGAGGCATCACACTACTCAAAGAGACTAGTAGCTAATAATAAGTAAAAGACTCTAGAATATTCTACATTTAGGTATTCTAGCTGCTTTTCAAAAAGTTTTTTCCTATCATAGATGAGCTGTGGGTTTGCCCAGACACTGCAGGCCACTTCTTGTACTAGTTATTGAGGTTGGGAGGGATATGGAGTATGAATTGAGGCTTTATGGAAGTTCTCATTTTGCTGGCGTTTGGTGCATTTGTCTGGAGTAGAAATGTAGATTCTAGCTAGAGATAGTTTTATTTTTTTTATTTTTATTTTTTATCTTCATTACGGGATGAGGTTGTCTTTGCGGCTTTGAAAAAGTCTTTTGGCTATTGATTTATATTCTTTTATGTATTTGCAGATATTTCCCTTTTGTAGTTTTGTAGCTTCTATATCAGTTATGGATCACTAGAAAATTGAAATTCGTGTGCTTGTTCAGGTTGTTATTTCCATTATCTGGTAATTTCTTTCTTGCAGGTCATTCGTATAAAATATCTGCATCCAGATAGTAAGCTTCAAAATTTTGCATTGCAAGTTATGGAAATGCTCCGTGCTGAAGCTTCTGTTGATGCCCATGCATTGGTATTTTTTCAATATGTTGTTATTATTTGACTTTTTGCTGGCAATTTGTTTTCAAAAGCAAATTTATTGAGATAAATGGTGGTGATAGGAGTGGAGAAAGAATATGAGAGAGCCATTTTTTTAAGCCAATTTTTTTTTTGTTTATTTTATATTTAGGCAATCAGGTCCGGTTTGGAAGAATTTTTTTCCAGCTTATCTATTGCAATAGTGCTTATGAAGCATTTCGGTCATGTTTGGATGAACTTATTGAAATGGCTTTTGAAACTAATATACTGTTTTGGGCTTATTTTCATAAATTAGAAACTGAAACTTGTGAAAATAAACTGTTGTAAAAGCTAAATAATCTTGGGGGGTAGTTGTTTTAAAATAATGGCTTCTGCTAGTCACAAATATTGGTGCACTTGTAATCTTTTGCAGACATTGTGCATTTGGTTAGAGTAAGCTGCTAGAATTTTCAGCCAGTCATTTCCATAAATACCTTCATCTTTGGGGTAGAATAGTTGTTCTTGCCTCAATTTGTGATGCATCTTTTAAGTAGTTTCAAATTTGGGTTGTCTGCGGCAGAACTGGTTTGTTAACTATCCATTTGCTGCTTTGCTATAAACAAGATTCAAGGTTTTAGAATTTTCTGCATTGTAAATGGTGACAAGTGTCTTATTTCTTGCTGCAGGCATGTGTTCTTTATGTCCTTCGTGTTGGTGTAACAGATCAAATGACTGAACCCACTCAGAGGAGCTTCTTGATTTTTCTAGGAGAGCAGGTGCAGTTCTTTTAAATTCAATCAGTGGTTGCCATATATTTTTCGTGTTTTGTGTATTTCAGCTTTGATGTCATCTGAATGATGAGTCCTGATTAATTTACTCCTTTTCTTTCCCCACATTTTGGCAAGTTATAGCTTCAGTCACCAGAAGCTGGTCCTTCCATGAAAGTGGCAGCCTTACGTACACTGTCATATACTCTAAAAACACTGGGTGAGGTAAGGCATAACTGCTTATGTTTCTATTAGGTAATGAAATTTACGTGCTATTAGTAAGTACGGCTGGAATGTTTCAAGGTGTGCTTATTTTGATATGTACATTTGTAGGTCCCATCTGAATTTAAGGAAGTTCTTGACAACACTGTAGTTGCAGCAGTGTCGCATTCTTCGAAGCTGGTAAGTTCATGAATTTTTTTGCTTATTAGAAGCATATATTATTTCTATATATATTGATTCAACATATCATTTTCCTTGTTCTCTGGGGTAGAATGGAAAAATAAAAGGGTGAAATGACTCTGGCAATAGTTTCTTAATGGAAAATGTTAAGGGAAACAAAATGGATGAAATTCAGATAGGATGAGGTCTTTGAAATTCAATTTAGCTTCTTTTGCCAAATCAGGGTCCCTTTCTTCAATTATACAAAATGAAAATCGAGTTCTTTATTGATGTTAGGAACGTGTAATGTTGCACAATGGCTGTAAAATTTACAAAATTTATTAGGGAGAAGGAATTAAGGGAAATTGGAAGAGGGGCTGGTGGACCTAATTTTATTAGGTTGGTGGTTGAATGATGTTAGAGATATAAATAAAAATCACTCTTGGCCCTACCCATGATATCAAAGATTCTTTGACCAAGAGTTCAGAGTTTGATTTCTTTTTGCTTTCGTTATCTTTAAAAGTTAATCAAATTTAAGACCAAGGAATTTAAACTCTAGTTACTTTTTGGGATTGCATGTGTTCATTAAAGATATAAATAAAATCAACTGTGGATTGTAACCCTACATAATCAAAACATATTGAGATGAATGGCTCCTTGACAGTTGATATTAATCCAACTGTTGGGAGTTTTGAGTTTCCGCACTTTTAATAAGTAAGTGTTGTGATTCTAGAAGCATTTGAGATTTCTAAAAAAGGTTTGGCATTAATTTATTGCATGCCTTTATCAAATTTGAAAACCTTTTGGTCTAAGCCATGTTTGTGCTGAACATGGAATTACAGCATAATTATACTTTTTTTCTTGTCTCTTTGTAATATCTGTATGAAATATATATATTGTTAGGTTCGGATTGAGGCTGCTTTGGCATTACGTTCATTGGCTGAAGTTGATCCAACTTGTGTTGGTGGTTTAACTTCATACGGGGTGACCAATCTTACTGCTTTAAGAGAGAGTGTTTCTTTTGAAAAGGTAAAATTCATCAATTTTGTGATAATCTACATTTTATCGCTTCCTTTATTACTATTGATAAAAAAGTTTTATTAAAATTAATACAAGAGTACAACAGAAGAGGAGGATGAGGAATCCTCAGCTGAGGCACATAGGAGATACATAAAAAAGATATACAAATGTGTTGATAACTAAATTTACTCAGGCAGCTGAATGGAGCCTGTTATGATAATAAAAATCCAGTTCCCTTCTTCCATTATGCTAATTCTTATACTCTTAGTGGTTTGGTATTCATGTTAGCGCTTTAACTTAGAGCAGTAGGAACTTCCGGTGAAGTAGTAGGTTCCTGCTCCTTTATGTCAATTGTCTGTTCTTAGCTGTTTTTGGACAATGGCTGTTATGTATTGACTGAATATTAGCGGAGATCGGCAAGCTACCTCTACTATCTTAGCTGTAGCTAGCTGATTAGTTTGTTTTCAACACATGTTAAAAGAATATAGCTCTCCAATCCCTTTACATATCTTCTAGGGCCACCCACTTAAAGAGACCATGTGTTGAGTAGGAAAAAAATACCAGTATTGCAGGCTTTATATGCTTCGATTATATAGGATTTTGTTGTGGTCATAGAATATGTAGTTATAATCCTTAATCACCCAAATTTATGTGTAAAGTGTCAATTCAGCCCAAAAGCTTTTGTTAGGTAAAGATGATATTAATGATTTTATGTTATATTTATCTAACACACCCCTTTGCACAAGAGCCCATTGGGCTTGAAGGGTGGCAATGCATAGATCCATCATCCTGTCCTAAGAAACTTCACAATATTTAATTATTTATTAATAGAATGTGGGTGGTGAGGATAAAACTTGTGGCTAATTGGTCATAGAAGCTTTGATACAATTTAAAGCGCCAGTTCAACCCAAAAGTTTAAACTGTTAGATGAATCTCATATTAATGGTTTTATATTATATTTCTCTAACAATATTAATATGAACTTTATTAGAATTCAGCCTTTTTTTTTGGATTTGGTTTCTTGTAGATGCTTAATATGGTCTTTGTTTCTTTTCTAGTGAACACCTATACTTGTTGTCTTCATCTTCATGCATTCTTTCTAATTATTACTATTTTTCAAGATCTACGTTGCATTTGTCAATGATTATATGTTAATTACAATGTCGAAAGATGCAGTCTTTCTAACTGTCTGATATTTGGAGATTTCTTGCCAAGGTAAAAAAGTAGGAACTTTTGACAGCTATGTTATGTTTAGCTGATGCAGGATGGTAAAAACTAGTCTGGGTGTAAGACTAATATATGAGGTTGGGTAGAGGTGCTATAGTTACATCTATCTGGTGCATTTAGTCGGATGTTCATGCTCATCTTCAAGAAAAAAATATATTTCTTTGTCTTTGTTATCGGATAGGGTTCTTTTATGGCTTCTCTCGTGTTCAGCTCTTGGGTAATCTTTGGGTGTTTACCTGTAAGCATTCAAAGAAATTGGAGGGCTTCCATGTCCATGTAACCTTTTTGCTTCCTGAGTCTTTCTTCTTGTTTGTCCGATGAGGAGGATGTTTGTATTTCTTATTTTGCTATATCATTAGAACTTATTTCATATGGAAAATAAAATGTTGGGGTTGGTTTCTGGACTTACATGTGAATGGATAATTATAAAGTACCTTTAGGCTGCGTTTGGTGTGTTGTACAAAAGCAGGTAGTGTAAACCACATAATTGGATTGTTATATTTTATCCAAAAAAAACACTAATGGATTAAAGGGAGATAGCCTAACTATCTGCTTTTATTTGGTTCTCTGATGCGATTCAGCCCCTGAAAGTGTACAAGAGGGATAAAGGGAGGAAAAGGTGGGTCCCCAATGCTGACTCAGCTAGGTTGTTGCATCTGTCATAACAGATTCGAACAGAATGGTTGGTGATTTAAAAGAGCAAGGGAGCAGGGTAGTGAAGGCATCTAGAATCTTAGCTGAGATTTGGGTTTGGGAGAGAGAATAGCCTCTCCAATCGCTCTACACCATTGTTTAGTAATTTCCAGTTTCATTGTAACGTTTACCACTTCTGTATCTAGGTGTTAATCCTTGTAACAGCCATTTGTTTCCCTGTGATTCTCAGTTTAATTGTTACATTGTACTGCTGTTACTTAATATCAATAATATCAGCTTTGGTGTCATCATTCAAACTCTTGGTTAAACTCTGTAATTTCTTGATCACTGGTTGGAACCTTATCATTCTCATATTGGGGCACTTTCATGTAAAAGGGGATAACCACGGTAGCTGTTTGTACTAGATTCTTTCCATATTTCCTCCAATCAAGATTGGATAGTTTGGAATGTTTTTCTTTTGGTGTGTTTTCTTGTATCTCCTATTTTCAGTTTCTTACTTATTTCAGTTATTTTCCTGATAATGACTTCTTTCTTTCTGCAAGTCCATTTGGAAATCTAAAGCTCCTTTCAAGGTTTGCTGCACAAAGTAGTTTAAATCCAAATGATATGTTGCAGACTTGTAGGCCTAATACATATTTCTGTGGATATGTGTTATGTGCATATCTAGTTTGGAGTTCTTGCTGAACACTGTTTGCCCTTACATTTTAACGGTTTTGTTAAGAATGAGGAGACTAGTTTTGTGGTAGCATGCAGTTAATGAGAAGCAGAAAGCCTGCATATTCAAGGGCATATTGTTGCACCTGCATATGCTATAGGATAAGATGGTGCTGTGGGTTCACATTGGTGTTTTGCTCATGTTGTTTGGAGGGATTTTTCATTTCTGATATGGGTGGAGATGATTGGCACTGGGGTAACTTAGTAGAGTTATACCACGTAGTAACTATAGATATTGATTTTGATCACTCCAACCATTGAAATATAATTAATTATTACATAAGTCTTGTAGAGTTAATTTATTGAAAGTAAACAAGAATAAGTTTGTATTCAAATGGTTATACATTAAAAATTTCAATTGAGTATTAACTTTTTGCGTGTGAGATTAAAAAACAAGATATCTTCAACTAGTGGCTCTTTTATAGTTATTCATTTTATGAATTGACAGTGTATACATTGTCTGCAGGGAAGCAATTTACAGTTTGAGCTCGATTCTTTGCATGGACAGGCTACTGTCTTGGCAGCTTTAGTGTCTATTTCACCAAAATTACCTCTTGGTTACCCAGCAAGGTAATTTATCTTCACTCTCCCCTCAATTTTTTTTCAATACCTGGATAAGTTGCGTTTCTTTTTATGCCAAATTGATGAATTATTTTCCCTATTTATATTGTGTGACTAAGTCTTGAATTTCGAAATACCCAATCCCTTTGCATGGAAGTGGATTAACACCTGATTTAATTTAGATGACGAGGTATGCAATGATTTGAAAGATAAAATCTAAATTGTATATAAGTAGGTGTAAGACCTGATTCAAAGACTCATTGTACTTTGTAGTTTTGTACTTTTTATGTTGGCTATATGATACTTGATATAAATGTCAATCACCCTTCTTTCTTTATATCTTTTTAGTTCTTCTGTTTATTGTTGTCTCCCATGGAAGGGCATCATGGGTAATCCAGTGCTGTTACATGATCTGTTCTTGTAGCTTTCATCTTTGACATGGATTAAAGTGTCTTGCTCGGTCAATACCTATTGTAATTTGCCTTCTTAGTTTCCCTGTGGTCATTATGCTAGATAAAACTAAAATTGTCATTTATGAAGTTTAATACTTGCTTGATATGGTGTACTAATAAGTAGTAATGTGCTATAAGCAGGCTTCCCAGATTAGTGTTTGGAGTTTCAAAGAAAATGCTGACAGAACATAGTCGCAATCCTGTGGCAGCCACAGTTGAAAAAGAAGCTGGATGGTTGCTTTTATCATCTTTATTGGCTTCTTTACCAAAGGAGGTATAAAGTTATGAATAATGAAACCAAAAAAATAAATGATAAAGGAAAGCATGTGAAAATATTTGTTATCAGCATTACATAAATTAAGCCTTAGTATTTCATTAAAATGTTGAGGAAACGAATTAGGTATTCAAGGGAGTCAGTCTTAGTGACTGCCTAAACAACAAGCCTTAGTATTTTCAATTCTTTTCATGCCTTTCTACATCATCTATAGCTATCTATCCTATTGAAAAATTATGATAGGAAATTCCTATGCATGTTTCATAAGATTTGTTAATTTTAAACTTGAAAATTAATTGGGGTCAGAATTTGTGATGTGCCCTAGAATTGTTTTAGGTAATATTCACTTTTTTTTTTGCCTGCAGGAGCTTGAAGAGGATGTCTTTGATATTCTTGCCTTATGGGCTACTCTCTTTGCTGAGAATCCAGAAAATGAAATTAAGAAAACTGAAGATTTAATGTCAAGAATTTAGTAAGTACATCTGAAGTGTGATTAATCTTTATGGGTCATGCAATGGTTATCATGATCCTGTATATTTTCTGTGGTTAAATTGTTTTAGATTATCTTATTTTTGCTCCTATTAGTTGAATTCTTCATCCATCTGGTGAGTATTCTTGTAAATTATTTTTCAATTTCCTTCCCTAGTGGAAGATCTTGACCTAAAATCTTTAGGAGCCGCAAGCTTTAGTTCTACCTATTTGATTAGAGTTAGTTAGCTAGCAAGGTAGGTGTTAAGTTAGAATTGCTGGAGGGTCGTTTCAGTCCTTTAATTTTACTACTTGTATTGCTGGAGGGTCTTTCAGTCCTTTAATTTTACTACTTGTACTGCATTGTACTGAAACCCTCCTTGTAGTTTGTAAATTTATAGGGCAGGACCTACATTGTGTACGGCTTCCACAATGTTTCAATCTCTAACATTGTATCAAGAGCCATCTGAACACTAGAAAAATAAATAAATAAAATCTAAAACCCTAAATTTTTAGCCTTCATAAGCTAAAAAGATAAGATAATTGTATCCCCCTCACCCAAAAAAAAGAAAGATAAGATTGGGAGAAAATTAGAGTAATGACTATTGAGGACAAGGTGAAAGAATCTCGCCTATGGTGTTTTAGTCATGTGAGATGAGATAAATACGGGTCTGGTGATAATAATGGATCAAATGGAAGGTTGTCTGATTAAAATTGGTAGAGGAGAATCTAAGTATCTGTTTGAATTCTGTTTTCAAAAATAATTTTAATTTTCAGAATAAAAAAAAACTTTTTTGATAATGCCAGTTTTGTAAAAATAATTCTTAAAATGATATATACTTTTTAGTTTTTAGAATCAAATTTAGAGAACATATTTAAGTTGTTTTTGTTTTATGTTTTGATTTTGAACTTTCAAAACAAAAAAAATACAAAATACCCCATTTTATTGATTACTCTACAAAATAGTTTTTTTTTTTTTAAAAAAAAGAACACAATCAAACATGACCCTAAGTTAACTTAAGGAGAGTGTGTTTAAAAAGTCCTTACTCTTAAGTAGTTTTACTGAAAATATGACTTTTGATTGAGCCGAATCTTGGAATTTGGGGAGTAGCTGTTTGGGTTATTTAGACAATTTTGAATATGAATATGATTGCCCTAACTTGGAGGTCCATTTTTTATTGTTACAAGTGTTTTGGGAGTAGAAAGGAGAATAGGGCAATACAGAGTTTTGCTATGGTCGCAGATTTCAGTGTACTTTTTGTTTTTATAGACTTGTTCTCTACCTTCTGGATTGGTTTTAGCTTGGGGATTTTTTGAATCACTTTCTTCATCTGATCATCATGCTTTTTACCTTTTTCTATCTTGATATATTATTCTATTATCAAAAAGGAAAAAGAAAAGAGCTTCAGTATTTTACTACTATTGTTAATTGGACAGAGTAAAGATAAAGGAGAAGCTATTGAGGATTTAAAATTTTCTAATCATTTAGATTTCAAAGAAGTTAAAGGTTTCTTAGCATACTTTATTTTGTTAGAAGTGTTCTGTCTTGAATAATAATAATAATGTGTTTTGATTGTTCATGTGTCATTCATTTTCTCCTCTTGTATTTTGTAGTGTATGGTCTGCAGCTGTTCATGCACTCACAGCATTTATAAAATGCTTTATATCTCCTAATGTTGTGAATGATGGAGTTCTACTTCAACCAGTTCTTGTATACCTTAGTAGGTATAACTTGTTCTTGTTCTGTTCCATTTATGGCTATAACTTCATTTGACATATGATAGTAATTCCTAACCTATTTTGAAAACAGTGCATTAACATACATATCAACATTAAGAACCAAGGAACTAGCACATGTAAAGCCGGCAGTGGACATCTTCATCATCAGAACTTTAATAGCTTACCGATCTCTTCCTGATCCAGTGTCATTTGAAAGTGACCATCCTCAAATTATTCAATTATGTACATTTCCATTCAGGTAGTGTTTACATTGGATTTATGTATCATTTAATATTTTGACTTGGGGTTGAACATCATATGTTGATACATTGAAAAAGATGTTCTAATTTTCTTTTGTTTGGGAAGTAGTGGTCCTCTAAGTTGTATGTTTGGTAAAAATGCCATTACAATGCTTTTCTCTTTCTAGTTTTGCTAATTGACACCGTGTTCAGGAATTTTCTGTTTTGGAGGATTTTTTTAAAAATATTCTGACAAAATATTGTAATTTCATGAGGAAGAGAAGAAATTACAATGCATTGGAGGTAGGAATCCTCCTTAACGAAGAGCAAAACAAAAAAATAAATAAAAAATCGATGGAGCAAAGCTGCTCAATCCCTCAACATTTTTGTTACTGTAAAGAACCAATTCAACCCAAAAGTTTAAGCTGTTAGGTGAAGGTCTCTTTAATGGTTTATATTATACTCTAACACGCTCCCTCACAATAGAGCCCATTGGGCTTGAAAGGTGGATAATGCATCAGGCCAGTCTACCTGTGCTAAGTAATTCCACAAAGAAAATTGGGGGCGGCGAGGATCGAATCTGGGATACCGAGGCTCTGATACCATGTAAAGAACCAATTCAACCTAAAAGCTTAAGCTGTTAGGTGAGAGCCTCTTTAATGGTTTATATTATATTCTAATAGTTACAACACCCTTAAAAAGACCAGGTTCTTATACCAAATGTCTATTCTTATCCCAAATCAAATATTCTGCCATTGAAACCTCTGTAAAGATACGAGTAATGCTCCAATGATATGTACCAAATTGGAGTGTAGATTGCACATTGTTGAAAAGTATCTCCTGATTGGGGAAATTATCTCCTATTTAAGGGCTGTATATTCTGTAAATAATTAGGATTTGACTTTTTCTAATTTCCTAGTTTCTAATATTAGAGATTGTAAATCATGTATATAGATAATCAGTCATGCTGAGGATTTCCTCAAGTAATTCTGAAATTCATCTGTAACACACATTGCTATTAGACTTTAGCCTCTTTACTTCTGCCAAAAACCATTAAAGCTTATCATAAAAAAGAAGTCTGAGGACCTAGAGCACACCCAACATTCACTAAAGCTGCCGAACAAATAAATCCAAAGAGAAACAGCTGCAGAACAATATAAAAGGTGATGAAGAACTGGTTCAGAACTTGCACCACACATAACACATAAATGGGGAAATAGCCTTTTGCAACATACAAAACCTGCTACAAGTCATTAAATTCTCTCAAACACTTTGGAGGATATTTTATTCTCCCCCTAATTTCATTTTCCCTCTTTTCTATCAAATAAAAATTATTTTTCCATAAAATAACAGCCATTCTACATATAAAATCTTTTTTGCACAATAAAAGGGCCAGCATACGTAAGTTGGTCTTTAATAGTAATGTACCAAAAATAGATAAATAAAATGAAGAGCATCATGGTAGGATAGCCTATCTAGCATCAACATTTCAAAAAACCTAAAGTGTCAATGTCGGACACTCTGACACGGTGTTCTACACGTGGTCAACATTCATGACACGTTGACCAATCTGACATGCGAATTTGATCGTGTCGGACACGGTCAAATGGCCATCTCCATCTCCCTCCGTGTCAGCTCCCTCACCCTCTCCGCTTGTGCCCTCTCCATTGCCGCCAGCCGGATTTGCTCAGCTTCTTGCCACTTAAGCACCTCCATTCCCTCTCACATCAACACCATCGGCTGCTGCACACTGATAGATAGCTGCAGGTTCAGCGACGGAGCGCCGCCCTCCGTTGTCGACGATGACACCGTCGATAGCAGTCGTAGTAGAGAGGAATCGACACGCGTTGATTGTAGAAGATTGAGTTCCCTGTTGACTTTGTCTTCCATTTGAGGGAAAAAACACTACGAACAAAGTGAAAAAGAAGAAGAATTTGGTACCATAGAGAAGCAAGAGAAGGAACTGTTTTGATTAACGACCAAAGAAGGAGTGATGATATTACGACTTCACCCTTGCTACGGATACTAGCTTTCAGTAATTCAGATTTCAGCTTACGACGTCATAACATATCAGCTTCTCCTGCTTAAGAATAAAACATGGCCGAGCTTTTTTCTTTTATTCAAATCACCTAGAAATGTTGCAGCTCTCTCATCTATGACGCAAAACTTGTTTGCCCCCTTTGTCCTTATTTCATCCCGCCAAAATGAAAGAGCTTTGGAAAAATCATATTCCTAGATGGCATGCCTTGGTTTTCATTTAAATTAGGCAGAATATCCCAAAAACATCTATATCTTACTCAATTCTTGCCTGCCTTCCCTCTCTCTCCTTTTAAACATTTTCCCTAACAGAATTCGTACCTTGCTTACTTCTCTCTCCCCTCCCGCCACCTTTCTCTTACATGAAATCTCCCATGCATATTCCCTTCCACTTCACCTCTCTTGCTTACGTGAGTCATTAATCCACTGCCTTTCCCTTTATTTTTCCTCATATAGACTTTAGTCATATGATAGTATCTATCAAAATTCTGCTTTATTGTGGCATCTTATTGTTATGCTTTAGTGAAAGCTGGTTCTAAATAAATGTTGAAATGATTTTCTTGCTGTTACTTCACTTATGTACTGATTGATTAACTGTCAAATCTTCATTGATTGAACTGAGTATTTGTTATTTCTTGTTTAAAAAAGGTTTGCTTCAGAATGCGAAGAAAGTTCGTGCTTGAGGTTGCTGTTAGACAAGAGAGATGCATGGTTGGGTCCATGGATTCCTGGAAGGTCTCTATCTGGCTGTCATACAATTATGCATTGTAGTATCTCTTCTTATTATTAGAGTAAATTACAATGAACCCTTGATGTCAGATGAAATTACAATGATTTTTATCTTATTTGCAAAATGATAAAGTCCTCCATTAAATTGCAAGAACAGTTTACTGTATTATGTATCACGTTAGCTTCTATCAATTAACTCTTTTGGATTATTTTGAAGTTGTTCATGGTAGACTAGAATACTTTAGTTATTTTTGCCTGTTTCTACTCTACATTTTTCTCTTCACTTGATCATCATTACTGGCTTTCTAAAGAGGCTGGCTTGATTTTCTGGAATTAAATCTTTTCTGGTTATTTGGAGCAAATTAAAAGTTTGGAGTGCGTAAAGTTTTGTTGCAGTGGCCCAGTTCCATACTCTTGATTAACAGAGGAACCAGATTCAAGTAGTTCACGTGATATACTTGGGAGGCTATTAAATAATGTTTTACCTGACTGCCAACCCTCTCTTTACCAGTGATAGTGTACTATAACAACACTCGAGTAACTCCTAGTTTCTGTCAGTCAGTTAACCTGTTAGTTAACCAGCTGCCAGCTGGCATAGTTAGTTAGGGAGTTAGCTCAGCTGCTAACTGTGTGTACCAGAACCCTGGGAGGTTCAGTTTAGTTTTTCAGTTGCAGAATATTTTGGAGAATACAATTCTCTCATTTTCTCTATACATTTTCTTTCACTTTTTCTATCATTTTCTTGTTTTCTCTCTGATTCCTGATTCCTAATAACCAGAGATATCTTGTTCATAAATTTTCCCAGTTTCTTTTTCGTTGGAATGATTAAGTTTGGGAGCTGCTTTTCATTTTAAAATGATAAATAATGTGTTACATATAGGGGTGTTAACGGGCTGAGCCGAGCTTTGGTCTTAAAAGGCTAATCCTGTGTTTAAATGTGTCGGCCTTACCAAGCCTGTTACCTGTTATGAATATAATTATCGGCCTGTGGCCTGCCTTATTTACAAAAAATAAAAGCTTGATTTAGCCTGTTAAAAAAATAAGACAATAAAAATTTATCCAAACAGATTATACAATCAACTACACTATAATTCCATAAATATTTATAAATTCAATGTATATCCAAACAGCATAATATAGAACAAAATCATTCAAAAAGTCTGTTTAACTAATAAAATAGGGGTGAAATGATTTGAGAGGAGAAAGAGGGATACTACAAATAGTATAAAAAATATAAATAAAAATAAAAATTAATATACTAGGCCAGCCTGAGAGGCTCTAAGGCCGAGCTTTTGAATTGGAGCCTGAGGCCTTTTTACTAAACGAGCTTTTATACAAGTTCAAGCCTGGTTTCAACAACCAATATTAGGCATGTAAGCTCAGGCCTTCACGAGCCGAGCCAAAGGCCCCTGGCTCGTTTATCACCCCTAGTTACATAGATATTTCCTGGTAAACTTGTTTTTTCAAGAGCATCCACTAGGAAAATGTCTAGAGGGTGAGGCTAGAGGAGTAATAAAGCTGCTCCTGTGTGACCGAAAGGTTACAAGTTTGAATCCGAAAAATAATTTCTGTAAAGAACCAATTCAACCCAAAAGCTTAAGCTATTGGGTGAGACTATATTAATGGTTTTATATATCTCAACACGCCCCCTCACACGAGAGCCCACTGGGCTTGAAGGGTAGACAATGCACAGGCCCACCTACCTGTGCGAAGAAAAAAATTCCACTAGAAAGAAAGTGGGGGGCGGTGAGGATTGAACCCGGTACTCCGAGGCTTTGATACCATGTAAAGAACCAATTCAACCCAAAAGCTTAAGCTATTGGGTGAGGCTATATTAATGGTTTTATATATCTCAACAATTTCTTTGCAAATATACAAGGGTAAGACTGCATACAAGGACTATCCTCACTAGTCAGGGTTTAATAGGGAGTGGTTTAAACCCACTAGGAAAATGTATCCTTACACACTTTCGACATGTGAAGCCTCTTGATACTCTCTTTTCTTTCATTCTTGGCTTCAGGGGGAGTTTTTTTACTGCTTCAATGCATTTTTCTTCTTTCTCTTAATAAAATATTTTTATCCAAAAACATAAAAAGAGAACTTATAAAACATCTGTTACTCTATCTTTTCCCCCTTCTGTGTATCCCTTCTCTCTCACTCCTCTGTTTCTTCGTCTGTTACTGATTGCATCCCAAAGCATTATAGGCCTCCATCTATCAACTCTGACATAAAAAGGAGATTTGTGTTCCTGGAATTCTCACTTTCTCTCTCTGTTAACCATTTCTTATGGTTCTGCACCAAAATACCAGGTTGTATATTCAATAGGGTTTCAATATATGACATCTTCTATTCTTTTGCAAGGGCAACTGATGCTCATATTAGGGAACAGAATTTAGTGATGTCATCAGTTATATAAATCGTTATCTATTTATGGATGTTTATTATAGTTGAGGCTGATATTAAATAGAATGTTATATAGGTCAGCATTATTTTGAAAACAATTAGGGAGGTCCTTTTAGGTTCCTCTCTCTTTTCTTTCTCTGTTTTCTAACATACTTGTGTTGCATGTATATTTATATGAAAAAAGGGATTGGTTTGAAGATGAGCTTCGAGCTTTTCAAGGTGGAAAAGATGGCCTTATGCCTTGTGTATGGGAGAATGAAATTTCTAGCTTTCCTCAGGTATTATTTCTTTGGAGACTTAAAATTTAGGAACTCCTCAATTTTTTTTTTCCCAATTTTGGAACAATCAACATGTTTGGTTAACAATATCCAAACATTATTTAATCAGTTAACAATATATTGACCTAACTAATCCTTTGTCTCTTTAATTATTCTAGGATTGGAAATATTTTTTCCTGAATTCCTAAAAATGTAATTCTCCCTTATTTATTTTTAAATAAACCTTATTTGTTTTATATGTCAACATTATGGTTCTTGATCTCCTTGTTAGCTTTGTGATTGTTGCATGCACCCTCTGCACTCTAATATATTATCAAGTAATTATTGGAAAATAATTTATTTTTGTCTAACAACCTTTTGGATGGTTCTGAAATCACAACAAAAGCAGAAATATTATCAAGGAGAAGCTGGGAATTAGAAAATTATTTGTGCCATTCGATTTTGGTATAGGCCTTACGTTATGAAAGTTTATTGTACAAATATAAAGTAAAATATTATGCTGAATGTTCATATGTTTGCTTGTTTTTCAAAATGTATAAAGCATGAATCGTTTGTGTGTTTTCTTTTTGGAATAGGATGGGGATGTAACAAGTAGGAAAGGGAAGTTGTGTTAGTGTAGATTCATTTTTAAGTCATAGCTTTACTTTCTTCCCATTCCCATTTCAATTAGGGAATGACAGACTATACTGGGTTTTGTCCAGCTGTTCCTATTGAAATCTAAGACTCCCTCTAAGATAAAAGCTGTCATTTGGATTACATCACTTATTTAGATTGACATTTTTTATTGTTTACAATTTCAATGACCTCACGAAGCATTACAACCTTATGATGTGTTTTATTAGTAGTGACACTGAGATTGTTGATTTCCTCTGTTAATGTCACTAAGGTTGGCACTTTGGAATTTTGAAGAGCATTATGGCTGTCCATGTCCAGGGAATGGAGGTTTCTTAAGTATTTACATTAGCTTGTAGAATACTCTGGTGAATGAAATGATATACCGAGTAGTCAAAGCAGAGTGACACTGAACCAAAGTATTCTCAAGGAGAAAATCATATTAGGATAAAAGTAAAGGATCTGACCTGAGATGATTTCCTGTACTAAGTTTTGTGTTACTTTGCCGAGAAGGATGATTTATACTGCTTTGTATTTGTATTTTATCTTAAAAAGTAAACTCATGAATATGTCTATCCAATATGCTTAGCTTGCAATCTTAACATTTTGATGTTTAGTAAAATACATACTGTATATGTTTGGTTTCCTTCGGCTATGCCTACTATTGTTGGGGACTACCCTAAATTGGTTAATTTCAACGGTTATTAGAAGTAACTTTTAACTCAGCCCATGAGTTGACTTTGAGCCCCTATCTCTTAAACTTGGTATTGGATGTTCTTATTGAGCATATCCATGAGCCAGTGCCTCAGTGCATGTTTTTTGTGGATGATACAGTCATACTGGGAGAGTTGAGAGAGGGGATAATTGGTAAACTAGGGTTGTGGACATAGCCTTGGAACAACAGGATGCAAGTTCAGCAAGAGGCACACTAGCACTGGCTTGGAATTTAAAATTGAGGATCATACCAACATGGTATCTTGGGTCTATCACTGGTTGGATGGATGAAATGGAGAAATGCTTCAAGTTTTTTTTTTTTTTTGGATAGAACACAATGGCGTCATTTGATGTATATAGTTGACCCCACCAAATGGGAAAAGGATTTTGTTGTTATTGTACAACTGCAGTAATAATTTCTTAGCTTTATAAATAAATTTTGATTTGTTTATCCAACTCATTTCATATTGCCTTTCCCATGCAATCTTGTTTTAGTTATTATTATTATTATTATTACTTTTGGATGGATGTGTACTTCACTAACAACTTAATTTTAACATTGAAGCCGGAGACAATAAGCAAGTGTTTGGTGAATCAGATGCTTCTTTTCTTGGGGATCTTATTTGCTTCTCAGGTTGTTTGTCACACAGCCTCAGTGTATGGTTGCAGAATCTAGACTGGTTGTTTGTCTTGTTGACATCGGTTGGTATTTTATATCTCAGGATAATGGTGGTATGCTGTCCCTTCTTGGCATTATTGAGCAGTGTCTGAAAGCTGGGAAAAAACAACACTGGCGTGCAGCTAATATCACCAATATTTGTGTGGGCTTACTTGCAGGCTTTAAGGTTCTTTTATCCTTCTATGGGTATTATCCAAGTATCTTGTTGAATCTCACCTAATATAATGATTTCATTATCTTTTCCAGACTTTGCTTTCGTTTCGACCCCAAACATTAGGACAAGAGATTCTGGGTTTGGCACAATCTATTTTTCAGGTAGGAAATCTTTTAATATATATATTCAATTATTTGTTAACTCTACTTGTTGTTCCTTTTCTTTTCTTTTTTGTTTGAATGTCATCACTTGATGTTTGTGGAATTTGAATGGAAGAGTATTTTGGCGGAGGGAGACATTTGTGCATCACAGCGTAGAGCAGCGTCAGAAGGACTTGGATATTTAGCTCGATTTGGAAATGATATATTCACTGCAAGAATGGCAAGTTTTTCAGTCTGTTTTTCAAGTTTCATGCTATTCCTCACTGTTCTGTTGTACTTTGATTTATTTATTAGAAACCTCCTATATATATGTGTGTGTGTGTGTGTGTGTGTGTGTGTGTAATTTGGCTTCTCTAAGGGAGGGATGCACATTAAAGAGAAAAGTGCTGAATCATAACTGTTGATTGGAAAATCTATGGCTGAGATTGTGATAAAATACATGCACTTGTATAACACACGATGAAGTTGTTAAAATCCATTCCCTTTATTTTCCAATCAGCATTTATAATTCTGTGCTTTTTCCTCTAAAGTGCACTCCTCACTTCAGAGGAGCGAAATCCTGTGTGTGTCTATAATATATATCTAAATTTTGTCCATGCTATGTAATGTTTTCATTTCTGATTGTGCTTTTCACCAATGATGGTGGCAAGCAGACTAGATCACTACTTGGTGACCTAAATGGAGCAACCGATTCCAACTATGCTGGATCAATTGCATTGGCGCTTGGCTGCATTCATCGCAGGTCATTTATTACTATGCCAGCTAATAGTTTGCATGTTTGTTTTATCAGTTTTTTAATCCCTCCAAGATATTTTCTTTTCATTCTGAACCGCTGATGGGTTTTAATTTGTTTGAACTCTGTATGTCTGTTTTTTTGGAATAAAATCTTCTTTACAATATAGAGGATCAACATTTGACTAGTTTTAAGAGTACTGAAACTATCATGCTGAGTTTGTGAATATGTTGATCTAAATATCAAGGGTGATTAAATGGGGATTTTTTTTTAAAAAAAAGAGAGAGAATATGAGTAAGGAAGAAGAGAGATACAAAGGGAGGAGGAGGATAAGAAATCCTCCACACGAACAAAAATTACAATGACATTAAAGAAACAGAACACAAGATTAAAGATGCACAAGGGCAGCCCTATCTCTATGCAAATCTGAAATGGCAATCCCCTTAAAAGGCCTTTAGCCCTGCACGGGAAGCTAAAAACACTTTTTGTCCCCACAACATTTCTAGAGACATCAACATGAACAATTGACCATCACCTTTATCCCAAATTAGTTGGGGTTGACATTTGATGAAACCAAATAAAAACACCAAATTGAGGGAAAAGAAATAATAAATAAGAATATAAGTAGATGTAAAATAAATAACAATATATAAAAAAACCTATCATGCTCCAATGCTAATAGTTTTCCTTCACTCAGTTTCAAGACAAACCGCATGTCAATTTATTTCCCATTTAATTAAGTCTTGTTTTACTATTTTCCCCCCAAATAAGTTTAGGCAGGCACAACAACAAACGCAACATAGCTCTAGAAAGTCTTGACCTCTTTTTTTCTTCAAAACGTTCATTGTCAAGAAGGTCACTAAAGAGTTAGGACAAATGGAATTTTCTCCACAAACACCATGCAGACCATTCCACAAGAAACTAGCATACTGGCACTGTAAGAACAAATGTGTAACTGATTCTAAACTTTTCGTATGCATAACATGAATATTAGGTGAGATGGCTGTTTTAGGTCTTTGAATCTGCAACAAATCATTGGTATTAATCCTCTTCAATACCACAGTCCAGACAAAAGCCTTAACCTTAGAAGGAGGTTTGGGTTTCCAAATAAATTTGTCAAGAAAGAACCCCTGTCTAGTAGGAGTATGAGTTAAGAGATGAAAGAACGACTTACATGAATAGCCTCTAGAAGGACCAAGACATTAAGAATAGGACACGCCCAACGCTAACCAAAATTTCAGAAAAGGAATTTCATAAAGAAATAGCATCAGGACAATGTAAGAATAAGTTTGGAACTGATTCTGAGTATTACAAATATACCTTAGACTATTACAAATATACCCTTGACAGCTGTTACAAATATACCCCTATACTTTACTCTAATACTGAGCAAGCACCATGCATTGCACACATATTCAGGAATTGAGCCTTATATGACCTACAAACCTACAGCATTTCATGAGTATTAATTCTATGAAGCACCTCAGTCCAAAGAAATGACTTTACTTTTGAGGTAGCTTTGGATTTCCAAAGGTTTTATGAAGAAGAAAAGTAGCCCTATTCAAAGAGAAAATGAGGAATTGGAAAAAGGATTTTCACGAAGAGACCGTCAAGGGATCAAAGTCCAAAACCTTTTATCCAGGTTAGAAGACAAATGAGTAGTACCCAAGAAGGGCTCAAATTCAGAAAATTCCCTACAATTTGAAGTTACAAAAAAATGGAAGTTCCATAAAAATAGAATCTTGAACACTACAAAAATTGGGATAGAAGAACTGTGTAAATTATATCACGTAAATTAACTCGATTAGTAATTGAGATATAATAAAAGGAAAAGAGTGGTTAATATGAACAAAATTAGCGAAAAAATGAGGAAGTTTACACCTATACACTATTTTCTTAACAAAGTATGTGCTCCAGTTCACGAGAAATATTTAATTCATCAGAGGATTAAACTACAAGAATCCACATTGGTTAAAGTGGAGGGCTTACATGGTGGTTGAACCCTTTTAAATTGCATTATTCATGTACATTTATAATCTCAGCTTAGATATTTGACTGAGTAGATCCAATGACTTTTCCAAATTTATATGAAAGACTGTTGGTTATACTTCCTTTTCCTATTGCTAGAGTCAATTTATTTTCATAATGAGTCACTCTGTGCCAAGTCTACGACATTATCTTTTTCTCTATGCAAATTGTGACAGTTTTTATCTTATATGTCTTGGCTGCAGTGCAGGAGGAATTGCATTGTCAACTTTAGTGCCTGCAACAGTGAGCTCTATCTCCTCACTGGCTAAAAGTTTGGTAGCTAATCTGCAGATCTGGTCTATGCACGGGCTTCTTTTAACTATTGAAGCTGCTGGCTTGTCCTTTGTTTCCCATGTCCAGGTATTCCCATTTCAAATGTCAGCATCTTGTGATCAATATATTTCTGATTTTATGTCTCTCAAATAGAATTGATACTGTCTGACAGCGTAATTGCAGCATGAAGAGCTTTTCCCTTGTTTTAATGTCATAGTATTTGTTAAGGACCAACCAACTTATCTCTCAGTCCTATGAAATGTCACTAATTCATTTATCTGAGCCATTCAGTCATTTTTATTATTATTATTATTATTATTATTATTATTATTCCAATAATCATGTCTCTCCACAACATAAAATTCTTTTCATGATATATGAGCATTTACATGGACATGGCTGAGAAAAATGATGCCAATGTTTTAGCAATTAAGTGAATTGAGAGTATTAGCTTCATGTTTTGTTGCTAAGGCATATCCCCACACTTTAAGTTGCCACCTGCCTTGGCTTATGTGATAGGATTTTATTTCTGCTTCCTGCATCCATCTTGTATCAACTTCTAGTGACCTATCTTTTAGCACCCAAAAAACGAAGATAAAAAATTAAGGAAAGAAGGGAAACTGCTTGCTGCTTTGATTTGTTAATCAGATGGATATACCCCATTTTGTTGTGTAATATTATCTTATTAAAGATTACATGATTTCCTCTAATTTTCTTCACAGGCAACCCTTGGTCTTGCTATGGATATTCTCTTATCTGATGAGAATGGTTTAGTAAACATTCAGCAGGGAGTTGGCCGCCTTATAAATGCTATAGTTACTGTTCTTGGTCCTGAGCTTGCCCCAGGAAGCATTTTTTTCTCACGCTCCAAGGTGGGCTTGTTTAGATTTTTTTTTTATAATAGAATAAACTCATTAATATATTTATTTATTTTTTATTTATATTTTTTCTCAATTTTTTCTGTTTTTGCTTTTTATTTGGGTTCGTTGATTGTCGACTCTAAGTAGTTTGGGATAAAAGTGATGTTGATGTTGAGATTAAACTCATTAAGAAGGAGAAGATAATTACAAAGAATGTGATGATAAAGGGTCTCCTTAACTTAGAAGGAAAACACAAATGACAAATATTAAAAAAAAACATCAGCATGTCTGTTTGGGAAACTCCCGTAAAATACCATTGGCTTTACACCAATTAGAAGCCAAACATCTAATCTTATACGAAATCAGCTGCTTTGTCAAACAAACTTCCTTTTAGATACTGTAAAGAACCAATTCAACTCAAAAGCTTAAGCTATTGGGTGAGGCTACATTAATGGTTTTATATATCTCAACACGCTCCCTCACACGAGAGCCCACTGGGCTTGAAGGGTAGACAATGCACAGGCTCACCTACCTGTGAGAGCAAAGAAATTCCACTAGAAAGAAAGTGGGGGGCGGTGACGATCGAACCCAGGACACGAGGCTCTGATACCAAATTGAATCTGAAATATATTGTATATTCAAGTGTATAAGTCTGTACAAGGAGGCTCCAAGAGTGGTGCTCCAATCGTAGGCACTAACGTGAGGCATAGATTGCATATTGCCATCAAATTTTAGCCTCTTTAATTCTACCAAAACAATTTAAGCCAATCATATAAAATTGTTCAAACAACCTAGGGCTTTCTGTTCTTTTTTTTTTCTTTTTCAATGTAAACTTCATGCAGTGTTTTTTCTTTCCAGTCTGCCATTGCTGAGATAAGCTGCTGGCAAGAAACTTCAACAATGCTTGAGTATGTTTCTCAGTTCCACTGGTTATCATATAATTTACATTTCCTCTTGGCCTTTAGGAGTAGTGGTTTTCAGTCAAAGGTTGTGACCGTTGCCTTTATTGATCATTATCTGAAGTTTTTGTTATATTGCAGGAGTGCACGCTTTACGCAACAACTTGTTCTTTTCGCACCACAAGCCGTTTCTGTGCACTCCCATGTTCAGACTCTTCTCTCTACTTTGTCATCAGGACAGGTATCTTTCCTGTATATTTTTCATTATAGGTAATAATGCTTTATTCACTCTTCTTTTCTACTTACTCTTTTTCTTCATCCAGCCAACTTTACGGCATCTTGCTGTGTCTACTTTAAGGCATCTAATTGAGAAAGATCCGGTTGGTTCCTTATCTCAGTAGAATTTTCAATATAGAAATATAACATCAGATTTTTGTGCTGAGAGCTGATTTTAATCTTTGCAGGCTTCAGTTATTGTTGAGCAGATTGAAGATAACTTATTCTTTATGCTGGATGAGGAAACTGATACTGAGTATGTAAATGAAAAAAAGGAGCTCTCTTACTCCTCTCTTACTTTTTTTTACTGATTTGCTCTTGGGTTAAGCTTAAATCCCTCACCACAGAAGTGGTGAAGAATTTTTTTTTGTCGATAATGATTCTTGCATTTCTTCTTTGTATTTGTACATTAGCCATGGTCAAGCATAGTTATCATTTATATTTTATTAACAAATTGGCCATGGCCAGCCATAGTTATTGGCATTTGGCTTTTAGACTGCTTAGTTTTTACTCCTTTCATTTGTGCAGAATTGGTAACTTAGTTCAAACAACAATTATGCGATTACTCTATGCGTCATGTCCTTCATGTCCTTCACATTGGATATCAGTATGTCGCAAAGTGGTAAGTTTTCTATTTCAAATTGTGGGATTTTCTTAATGCTTCACCCTCAAATTTCTAACAATTTATTAAACATTCTTATAATAAATAAATTGTCAAAATTCATGTTTATACAATTATGATAATAAAAATATTGCGGAAGCTCATCTAAATCTAATTTGGGGAAATGTTACCGCCAAACCTGTACAGGGACAAGTGCAAGGCTAACTCTATTACATTCAAATACATTTTGATACATAATATTTATGACTAACTAGAAATATCATAGTCGTTATCCTCACTGCCCATTGTCAGCCCTCATCCTTCAGAACCTGTTTCACTGAAACTCTGCTCCCCCGTAGGATCATTGCAGCCAAATAAACAAAAACAATCAGCAAAACTGGTAATCCCAATCAAAATACAATAAATGTAATTAATAATTAAATTAAATCAAATATCAATATATATAATCAAATAGTGATTAAATCAATATCAATTCCACATTAATAAAATCAAATAAAATAATAATCAAATTAATATCAATTCCATAATATAATATTTATCTTTATTAAGTTCATTTAGTGGGAAGAGAAACATGGTAAACCTGGGAAAGCCTGCTAGTCTACCCTGTGACCCGGGAAACCCTGCTAGTCACAAATAATCAAATTGGCAATAATCAAAACATCTCTTCCTAGTATGCACACCTCTTCTCAAAGTTGCTACTAGTATCCCGGGAAACCCTGCCAGACACTACTTTGGGAACTTGTAATGCTCGGCCGCTTTAAGAATCAATGACTATCCCCACATACTAACACGAGACTTTTCAGTGTGCTTTTTCTTCACTCGCACATTTCCTGGGAAAACTTCCCAGGAGGTCACCCATCCCAGAATTGCTCCAAGTCAAGCACGCTTAACTATGGAGTTCTTCCGTTCCGGGCTACCGAAAAGTAGATGCATCTTGTTAGTATAGGTAGTACCAATTAATTCTTATAAGCTATCCTCAACCGTGCAGTCTCATACCTGCATAGTCTTTGGAATCCCTCTCTTTCGGGTGTCGATTCGATTCATTCATGTAACCCCCGCTAGAAGCCTGCCAGGAGCCGCTCCTTGTCCGTACCTCTTTGCACCGACGATCACTCCCCGCTCTCGTCAGCGCTCGGGATGTTACATGCCTACCAGCTTTTGCCTGGTTCGTCCTCGAACCACACCGTACTGGAAGAGAGGCCTTGCTTTGATACCACTTGTAACGCTCGGCCGATTTAAGAATCAATGACTATCCCCACATACTAACACGAGACTTTTCAGTGTGCTTTTTCTTCACTCGCACACTTCCTGGGAAAACTTCCCATGAGGTCACCCATCCCAAAATTGCTCCAAGTCAAGCACGCTTAACTATGGAGTTCTTCCGTTCCGGGCTATCGAAAAGTAGATGCATCTTGTTAGTATAGGTAGTACTAATTAATTCTTATAAGCTATCCTTAAATGTGCAGTCTCATACCTGCATAGTCTTTGGAATCCCTCTCTTTCGGATGTCGATTCGATTCATTCATGTATCCCCTGCTAGAAGCCTGTCAAGAGCCGCTCCTTGTCCGTGCCTCTTTGCACCGGCGATCACTCCTCGTCCTCGTCAGCGCTCAGGATGTTACATCCAGAAACTCTACTACAAGAAGACATGAAAACTAATGTTTTTAACGGAAGTAGTGCTAAATCCATATTGAAGATCTGAATGTTTTTTCATGCAAAAATTTTAGAAATGCAGATCTCATATCAGGAAGATTTAAAAGGTGGAAAAGTGAAAGAGCTGCTGCCTTGTATAATCCATAACAGACATATAGACATAGGCATCTCAGTTTCTATCATTTTTATTGTTATTTATTTATTATTATTATTTATTTTTGTTTTTTTTTTTTTGGGGGGGGGGGGGGGGGGTTTACAGTGCTATCTAAGGATTTATTTGATATAGAGATATATGATAGATGTCGGGATTTGGCTTGTAAAATAGAGAGAAAGAGAAAGAAGGATCAATGGAGAACGCTATCCCGTGAAAATGAATAAGATCACAAGTGATTCAACCCATATAAGTGTGTGTTATTTATAGTGAGAAAACGAGCTGTGCATAGCCTGTAGTATAGTGACACATGAATGCATCATAGATATTGCTAACATGTGTACTATTTCACTAGATCACATAAGTTATATGTACTAGCTTGTTTCAAATGTGGCATATTTGAGGGGCCCAAAGTGCAAAAACTGTTTGCTAGTTGATCAGTTGAGTTGGCAAAGCTAGTAGCAATGCACTATGCCAAGATTGGGGATGAAATGACAATGAACTTTTATATGTTTGATCCTTTCATGGAAACTACATATTGAAACTTATTGCTAGACCATAGCCAAGTGAGAATCCAGTACCTTGATCAATGATCAATCTGCATCAGTGTAGTTTTAAAGCGACCAATTTAACCCAAAAAAGTTTAAGCTATTAAGTGAAGGTTACATTAATGGTTTTATTTTATATTTCTCTAACAAGTCCCTTTACACCAAAGCCCATTGGACTTGAAAAATGGACAATGAACATGTCTATCTACTTGTGCTAAGAAACTCTACAATGGACAATACATAAGTCCACCTACTTGTGTTAAGAAACTTCATAATATTTAATTATTTATTAATAGAACAGAGGCGGTGAGGATTAATGAAGGTTAAACTATGATACCATGTAAAGCAACTAATTCAATCCAAAAACGTAAACTATTAAATGAAGGTTACATTAATGGTTTTATATTATATTTCTCTAATAGTAGTCAACCATGTGATTGTGTCCTTTTTCCTTAATAGTACTAAGATATAGTGGCAATGAACCGTGATTTTACATTCTCTTCTTGAAGCTCACCATGAAGAGGCATTTTTAATTGAGTGGCCAATGACGTGTGGGTTCCATAGAGCGAATCCTTTAAGTTAGAGATGTAATAAAACCAATAATGTATTTTCATCTAATAGCTTAAGCTTTTGAGGTAGTTGGTTCATGACATGATATTAAAGCCTCTGTGTGGTCTAACGTTCAATCCTTGCCATTATCGTTTTTCCAATAGAAATTTGAATTTCAGTATAATATGTACATGCTCCACATGTCAAGCCCAAAGTATTCTTGCACGCAGGGACATATTAGAGATGTAATGTAAAATCTTTCTTCACCTAACAGCTTAAACATTAGAGACAGTTGGTTCATGACACTTTGTCAAACAACAAAATCTTTGTAAACATCCATCACAGATAGCTCCTAAAATTCTTAGTTTTTTTCTTCTCAACAGCCCTGTAAACCTTCTTAGAACTTCCCAACATTCTACAAACATCCATAACACAGCTTCCAGACTTCTTCAACATTTCTCTCAGTGACCCCCTCAATCTTCTCCTAGATGGTCTTTTACAAACCTAGTTCTCACATCACCTAGCAAGAAACTCAACTCCCTTACTACTGCCAAAGTATTCAGTTGCAATTTGCAATTTCCCAGCAGAAACATCCACACAGCCCAGCCAAACTACCCATCACGTGTTGTTTCAGTTATCACACCAGACAAGAACCAAATTGCACCAGGAATCTCCAGGAAGTGTCAGATCCAGCAAAGATCATACAGCAACAGCAAGACAGAAACTAGGTCATTTGGTTTGTACCCAACCTGGACATGGATCAAGTCAACCTTCCCTTTATCCTACGATACCAGAGTAGACAATCACGCCTTACCAAATCACAATCAAATACCATGTAATGCCATAATGGCCTCTTACCAAACCACCCTCTAATGACAATGGTATTTGTAAAGAACCTTGGGATACACCACCCCAAAAGCTAGCTCAAAGGATGGGAGTGCCCAAGGCCTTATAAACTCCACATTAGTTGCACATACTACCAATGTGGGACTATATATCTCAACACGCCCCCTCACACGAGAGCCCATTGGGCTTGAAGAGTGGACAATGCAACAGGCCCAGCCTACCTGTGCTAAGAAACGCCACAAGAGAAATTGGGGGGCGACGAGGCTCTGATACCATGAAAAGAACCAATTCAACCCAAAAGCTTAAGCTGTTGGGTGAGGCTACATTAATGGTTTTATATATCTCAACACACCCCCTCACACAAGAGCCCACTGGGCTAGAAGGGTGGACAATGCACAGGCCCACTTACCTGTGTGAACAAAGAAATTCCACTTGAAAGAAAGTGGGGGGCGGCGAGGATCGAACCCGGGACACGAGGCTCTGATACCATGTAAAGAACCTTGGGATACACCACCCCAAAAGCTAGCTCAAAGGATGGGAGTGCCCAAGGCCTTATAAACTCCACATTAGTTGCACATACTACCAATGTGGGACTATATATCTCAACAGTATTGTCCAATCTTTGATGCAGCTAAAAGAACTATGACGGTTAAATTGTAAACTACTTGGGCTACTAAACTTTAAGAGAGAAAAATGATAGTAAACAATAATATATAGCTGAAACTGTCTATGGTAGTACTTTGATACCATGTTGAAAAGTTAGATGTCATAAATTGTCCCCATTTTATACCTTAATTTTTAATAGATGCTAGAGGAATATTTAAAGCCTATGCTGTTTATCAATTATCCCTCAAAAGAAACTCCAATCAATCACCTAGAATCAATCCCCCAATTAATTACCCTTGATTTTTGGGTCAACACTTTCTCCATTCATTATACTTTCTTTAACTGTTTACATACCCTTCAATGGTTTAATGGGATTATCACAGGTCCTTGCGACGTCAATGAGGAACGTCGAAAATAATAATGTTGCAGCAAATGATAACTCAGATGGTGATACAAGGTTGAACCTTGGGGATGACGAAAATATGGTTTCTAGCTCCAACAGCGTGCAGAGTTACAAGTTTCAAGCTTCCATAGGTTCTGCTAATAGAGAGAAGTACCTCAGATATCGAACCAGACTTTTTGCTGCTGAGTATGTATTTCTCAGTTGTGTAACTTAAGCTTCACTGTAAATATATTGAACTTACATACATTTACATGTTTCTGGAACATTAATAAAGTTGCCTTATTTCAAATTTAAGTATAATTTCACCCCCTGTTATCCTCATTCTTCGAGGCTCATCTTTTTTTCCAATTAAAGAATCTGTTTTGTATCTTTCTGTAATATTATTATTGCAGATGTTTAAGCCATCTACCAGATGCTGTAGGAGGAAATCCTGCACATTTTGACCTCTTTTTGGCAAGGAAAGAACATGGAAGTGGACAGGCCAAGTGTGATTGGCTAGTTCTCCACTTGCAAGAGTTAATATCACTTGCTTATCAGGTGCTGCTTACCTATTAGAATATTTTAGCAATGAACGATTTACCTTTTGCACTTGTATTAAATGTTAAAGTTGTATTAGAAATCCATCACGTTGTCCTCTCTCATTTTTGTCCCATACCAGATAAGCACGATTCAATTTGAGAACATGCAGCCAGTAGGCGTGTGTCTTCTTGGCACCATTGTGGACAAGGTAAGATGGTCTCTGGGAAATATGATGGTTCTGTCTTTTCTCCCCCTTCTCTTCCTTTTTGATAACTTCAATGCAGAAAATATATGGTACTAAAATGAAGTGTTTTCCTAGAGCTAATTAGCAGTTTTTCCTTTTTCTTCCCTTTTCCTTTTTTTTTAATTTCTTTTTCTATAAGAACAGCTCGTTATAAGCTTCAGGGGATGTGGTAGAACTTTGGGAGAGGCTTTGGGGTTGTCTGCTAAATATGCTTCTCTTTGTTGTATTTGACTATTTGGCTCGAGTGAAATGCTTCGTATCTTCATGAATTCTTCTCACTTCGTATCTGTATAGTGTTCAGTCTATGGTATCTTTGACTAAGCCTTCCTAACCGATAAACGAAGGCATTATAAAGCCTTATTGTATTGAAGACTTGTTTTGTTTTTTCTGTGTGTTAAAGGAGGGAACATGAGACATTTGGTTTCTTACCTTTTTGAAGGAATCAAATTATTCCCCGATGAATACACAATACCCAGAATTGGATTTCCTATCAGTAGAGAGACCTACTCAATTAGCATATGAGTATCCAATAACCCGAGTATGACCTTTATCTTCATAAATAAGATCTTTTCTTGGAGATCCTTTAATGTATCACAATCAAATAAATACACCCTTTGATTGAATGGAATTAAAAAATTGAGAGGTCAACCTTATTCCAAGTCATAACAAACTGTTGAACTTTAATGCTAAATCTGTCAAACCAAACCCTTGGAAATTGTTTGAGACCATACAAAGATTTGCATAGATGACAAACTAGTCCATAAGACTCCCCCTAGGTATCAAATCCAGGAGGTTTCTCCATAAAGACTTTTTTTAGACAAATCACCATGGAGTAAGCCATTCTTTATACACAATTGATAAAGTGCCTAGTGGCGTATAGCGGCCATACACAGAAAGAGGCAAACATGTCATTTTCACCAATGGGGTGAAGGTTTCCTCATAATCTCATCTGTTAAAGATCTATAAAACCACTAATGTAGCCTCACCCAAAAGCTTAAGCTTTTGGTTGAATTGGTTCTTTACATGGGTTCGATCCTCTCCGTCTCCCATTTAATTAATAATTAATCAAGTTTGTGGAGTTTCTTAGCACATGTAGGTGAGCCTTTGTATTATATACCCTTCAAGTCCAGTGGGATCTCGTGTGAGTGGGCATGTTAGAGATCTATAAAACCATTAATGTAGCCTTATCCAAAAGCTTAAGCTTTTGGTTAAATTGGTTCTTTACACTATCCAAAAATATGTGTATGCCCTTTTGCCACCAGACAAGCCTTAAGATGATCCACTGGCAATCGACAACAACTTATAGGGAGGTAAATGGGCTAGGTCAGGCTAGGATTTGGTTTAAATAGGCTGGACCTATGTAAAATATTCTGGTCTATTAGATTGGTGTAAGCTAAATTATAGGCATAGTCTGGCTTATATTTAAAAATAAAAAGGCTTAGCCTAGGCTTATTAGCCTATCAAGCCTTCAATACCTATCAAGAATTAGAAAAGATAAATGAAATAATATCACTTTACTAATTAAAATTATTCAGAAAACTATTTTATTTATTTAATTAAAATAAATAATATGATACAGTTAACCTATAGACTTGTAAGCCAGACCTTGTGAAAGTAGGCCTATTGCCTATTTACTAAAAACTATTTTTTTAGGCCTGAGCCTATTCTATTTTACCGAATATACTAGGCATGACCTGCCTAAAGTTAGCTGGACCGTAGGTCGTGATAGACCGTCTGACCCATTTATACCCTTACATAAGTATATGATAAAGCGCAATTACATGATTTGGGCTAGTATGTACAATGTTAAATAAGTATATAAAATAAATCTAGACACCATTTACATGTTTGCCAGCATTGTTTCTCGTATGCACTGTTACCTTTAATTATATCTCATCCTCCTATTTTCTTTGAAATCTTTTTTTCTTCTCTCTAATATTTTTTCTTCTTTTATCCCCACACTGACACACACATGTCTTTTTCTATCTAAGCAATTGGGGCTAATTTGATCAATGTTTACTATGTGAAAATGCAATGTTTGTCCAAATGATGAAGAGCTCAATCACTTTATTTTTATTAATTATTTGGAGTTCATGTTGGAAAATGCTAATTAGTGTTTATTCTCTGCTTAATATTGTGCTGTGTGTTACTGTGTGGTGAATCTTATCATCTCTCAACTGGTCTTGTCTTTTTAATTTGTTCTTATATGTGAATTTGGATTAACAGTTTGAAAAAGTAGCTGACCCTGAGCTTCCTGGGCATCTTCTCCTAGAACAGTATCAGGTATTTGACAAGATTTGTTTCAATCTCCCCCACCCCACCCCCCAAACACCCCGCAACCAAAAAAAAATTGTTTACACGACGATCTCAATTCTTTTATGTTAACTAAGGATGCTTTTTTTTTTTAGGATCATTTAATTTACACACATGCCTATTTGTTAATAGGTCCTATAAAACTAATGCTTCATTTTTTTATAGTCATGTCGATTCTGAGTTTTGTGAATTGCTTGGAATGACTGAAACTGTTCTAAATATAGGCCCAGCTAGTCTCTGCAGTTCGCACCACCTTGGACACATCTTCTAGTCCTAGCTTATTGGAGGCAGGCTTGCACTTGGCTACCAAGGTTGAAAAGCTTCACCCTTCTCTCCATTTCCTTTTTTCCTTTGAAATTGATTTATTTGCATGTTTGGAAATCCCTCAAAAGTACTTCTGTGGATCAAATTGTGGGATTTGAGCTCTTAAACATATCTCAAGTTACTTCTTTGGAAGTTTGAAATATTTTTGTGAAGTTCCTAGTATGGAATTAGACGTAATTCAACTCAGTAATATGTGGAAATTTCAGATACTGACTAGTGGAATAATCAGTGGAGATCAAGTGGTGGTCAGGCGCATATTCTCATTAATTTCACGCCCATTGAATGACTTTGAGAACATTTATTATCCTTCATTTGCAGAATGGGTAACAAGCAAGGCATGTGATTCTAATCGTTATGCGTACATGTTAAATTTTCAGATACTTTTATCTCTAGCTCTTTTGTCATATTTTTTAATTATATTTTAGATCAAAATACGACTTCTGGCTGCTCATGCTTCGCTCAAGTGTTATATATATGCATCCATGAGGAAGCACCAAGATGGAGTACCAGATGAGTACCTGGCATTATTACCATTGTTCCAAAAGAGCTCAAGTATTCTGGGGAAGTACTGGATCCATACATTAAAGGATTATAGTTATATATGCTTGTGCCTGGGCCCAAAGAGGAAGGTAAGCCTGAATATGAACTTACTAGATATTCTTGAGTGGGGAGATGATAGCTGGATCCATATGAAACTGTTAATATCTTCATGGTTGCCTTCTCATTCTAGTTGCACCTTTCTTGTAGTGGAATCTTTTCCTTGATGGACTCCAATCACCTATTGTTTCTTCAAAGTTGCATCCCTGCTTAGATGAATCTTGGCCTGTAATTTTGCAAGCACTTGCACTTGATGCAGTTCCTGTGAATTCTGAAGTAAATGATTGCCCCAAAGCCCCAGTCGAAAACAACCAAAAAGACAGTGTCTCTACATGTCAATGCAGCATGGTTGAATTGAAGTGTGAAGATTTTAAGTTCCTGTGGGGCTTTTCCCTTCTTGGTCTGTTTCAGTCACAACATCCTATCCTTTGCAGACCAATTATACAGCTGGCCTTCGTTAATGCTAAGCATGGTGGGAACTTGCCAAATAATGAAGTGAAACCCTCAGGCTTGAAATTATATGAAATTGTACTACCTATGTTTCAATATCTTGCTACTGAAAGATTTTTTGGAACGGGATTGCTTACCATGGATATATGCCAAGAACTGCTGCAGGTGGGTGTTATTTCTTACGGGATTCTTTGGCATACACCTCCAAGATAACATTTATTGTTTGTAGTGGATGTAGTCAGTACTCAGTAGTCTTAATCATGTCTATTAAGATAACAGATATTTAATTTAAATGACATTTCCTTGTTCTTATCTATTGAATTTCGTTTGGACACATGATATCATATTCCTTTTTTTATAAATTCATATATAGCAGGGATTTTTTGAGCCTTTGTTATTTAAATAAGTATTATATTGGATAGTGTCGAAACATAAAACCATTCGTGTGCCTCCACCTAGTAGTTTATGCTCTAATGAGATTTGGTCCTTCATATGGTATCTGGACTTCTATGGCCAAGTGGTAAATAGCTCAATTCTTTACCATCTACACAAGGTAAAGTAGGCCTATGCATGGTCCATGCTTTAAGCCCTTAGGGATCTTGCATGAAAAGAGGGGGGTGTTAGATATATAAAATCATCCAGGTACTCCACTTAACCACCTAAGTTTTAAGAGAGATAGTGCTTAACACACAAAATTTGCAAATATTCTTCACATGCACATTGGATGTTCAATTGTATTTATGAATTGATAATGAGTTATTCCTGGTGAAATATTAACTTCAGTTTTCTTCCATGTATACAATTACAACACATTTTGGAACTGCAATATCTTAGAGCCACATGAATAGCATTGAATTTGGATGACCTAGAACTTTTTAAATCTACTGTCTGTATGACATATATGATTGATACTTTTTCCCCTTTTTTTGCGTTTTTACTGGTTCAGTGTAGAATGTTTGACTGTTTAAAGGAAGAAAGGATTGATGACTTACCTCCACTACTGTGTATAAGGAGATTGGAGTGTAGAAGAGTCCTTGATGTGGCCACAGAGTAGTTGGTTAGAATAATTAGGCGGCTAAAGTTGTAGAGGTAGGGAATTAGGTTGAATAGGAAGAGAGGGTAGAAGAGTGGACATCTTGATTTGTTATCATTTGGGAACTGAGCATTAGCTATGTTGTAGAAAGGTGAAATCATTTGTGAAGGAAAAACTCTTGGGAGGAGAATTCTCTCCTTAGGTCTCTGTTTGCAATTCAGTACATTATTCTTTCTCTTTTCATTTCTCTTTTTTTCCTCATCTATCTCTCTATGAAAACTCAAAATCCTTTTCTAGGTTCCTAGCTATCCCATCTATTTTCATTCATGATAATTCCTTTGCCATGGTTAAATGCATATTATATATGGAATGGTCATAAGGATTATTCTTACATTTCTTATATTGTTCAATGGATGCAGATTCTTTCATATTCCACATACATGGATAATGCTTGGAATAGTCTCGCGATATCTATTTTATCACAGGTAGACATTAAGATAAACTGATTTCAGGATTGTGACTCTGCATTATATTTTTCTCCTTTTTGGTGTAAATTATGATAACACTTACAGCACTCTATTCCTGTTAAGGCAGGATTTGTTCTTGAGTGGCATGTTAATATAGTTAGCTGTTTGATGCTTTGGCCACTTTTTTTGAGACATGCGAAGTTCAAGTTTCAATTGTTTTCCCTACAGGTTGCACAGAATTGCCCACCAGAAAATTTTAATACTGAAAATTTTGCTTTGATAGCAATGGAACTTTGTTTAGGCTACCTTTTTAAAGTGTTTCGGAGGTAATTAATTTCCCGTGACTGATAATTAAATGTGTGTGTGTGTGTGTATGGATGTATGTATGTATACTTCCCTAAATAGTTCCTGTATTTCTGTTGTCCAGCACTGACACAATTTCAGCGTCTCTTCCGAACTACGATGTAAATGTGATACATACACTATGTAGCACAGTAAAGGCAGTGATTAACCGCATTGAGACCAAGGTGTGTCTGTTGTGTGTGGTACTGGGTAACTGATTTCCATCTGAGCCAATATCTTTTTGTCAATATTTATAATTCCATTTCCTTGGAAATCTTTGTGCAACATTTTTATCTTAAATTTGTCTTTTGTCATATTCATTCTCAAAAATGAACTTCATTGCTGATTTGTTCTTATAATGATTACTTAAGATGCTTAAGCATTCAAAATCAGTGGTTCTGGCATTAGTTTTAATTGGCTACGAGTGCATTAGAGAGGCTTCAACTGAAGTGTGCTTATCAGAAGCCATTGACATGGTCAACTGTACAAGCCCTTTATTAAAGAGAATCATTGATGGTAAGCCTTTTTAATTGGAACTACTTTTGTCCAAATTCATCCTTGCCTCTTGTGAATTGCTAGTTTGAATATTTATATTTGACATGTATTTCCTCATTGTTTCTGCTCTTAAGCATTTTTGCTAGTTTTTATTTAATGGATGTAATGTTACAATACTTTTGTGGATAAACCAATTTGAGTACCGCAAAGGTTTGAGATATTTGAGTTGAAACTCAGCATCAAGCTACCAATATAGGAGCCAACATCAACTTTAATTCCTTCAACATCACAACTATGGATCTTTACTCATTTTTATTTTGTAGAAGAGGCTGAGCTTGATGGTAGCATTCTACCACTAAGAGAAGTGTTCCGGACTTGTCTGAGCATAGTTGCTGCTCTGACTAAGGATTGCATTGAGGGATTCCATTTGCAGGAGGTTAAAAGTTTCAACCAACGCAAGCTAATACATACAAAGCTTGCATTTGCTCTTGAACAAATTATTTCAATTGCCAAACTGGCTCTTGAAATTAAATATGTTGAAGATTGTGATGGAAGCAACTCTATTTGTGTTAGTGCACTGAGATACTGCATTCGATGCATGCAAACTGTACTTAGTGATTCAAATATTCAGGTAAATGAATATGTAGGAAATATCACACCATGGCTTTTACCCAGAAAGAAATACAAATGACACAAGTTTCTTCTTGACAGGTTCAAGTAATAGGCTTGCAATTTCTTAAAGCCAGGATACAGAAAGTTGTAAATGCAGAAGATACTTCTTTCTTAATGTTTCTTGCTGGGGAGCTAATTACCGATATTTTCACTTTGATCCACAAAATGTTGAAGGTATACGCAACACTTGCACTTGTCTTGCCATTAATGTTGTTAATATTATCATTAGTTCATATTATTTGCTTATTGCATTTTGCAATTCACTGTAGCTAAAGGATTCTATTTTTCTATTGATAGCAGAATACTATAACAAGAGACTCGGTAACCATTGTTAGTGAATGCTTGAGTCTCATGGTGCTTTTACAAACCCAGTCAAAAGGTAATGACTGCCAGAGAAGTTTTATGCACCTGCTTCTGGAGGCCATTGTCATGATTTTCTTGTCAACAGGAGATGGGTTCTCTCAGGTAATATAAACAAAATTGCTGAAGTTAGCTCTTATTAATTTGTTTATACGTTATTTTGATCATGCAAATACAGGAAGTCAGTGATTTAAGAAGCACAGCCATTAAGCTTGTTTCACGCCTTGCTCAAATCCCTTCATCAGCAATTCATTTCAAGGATGTTTTACTATCAATACCTCCTATGCACCGCCAGCAGCTTCAGGTACTTTTCTGTGTTACTAATATGCATGTATGCAGACTGATTATTGACAGTTATTTTGCTCAACTAGCATATTCTTTTGTGATTTTCTACAACTACTAGTTGACCACCTGAAAGGCCATGATGGAGATTATAATTTGGAAATGCCAAATTCCTTTCTGTCCATAGAAATAATAAGCTCCAATCATAATTTCTGTTGCTTACTGCTGTTGCTCCACTACATGCAGGGTGTAATCCGAGCTTCTGTAACACATGATAAAAATCCAACAGAACTAAAAGTACCAGTTTTGGACATAAAATTACCGAAGCCATCAGGAGGAACTGAAGAGAAACATTCTGCATCGTCAGCTGCTGTGATGCAAAGAGATGAAAATAACAAGGAAGAAGATGAAGTCAGTGAAGATGATTGGGATGCTTTTCAGTCTTTTCCTGTCTCTAAAAATGAGGATGATGATGAATCAAAAGCAGAGTATGTTTCTGAAAGCAAAGATCTTAGCCATGTTGAAAGATCATCAGATATGGACGGTTCTGTTGGAGGTGTTGAGTCTCAAGAATACTCTATTCCCAAATCCATCAATAGTGGAAAGGAGCAGAAAGGTGGTGAATGCCTGGAGGCTGCCGAAGAGAAACATGATCAAACTAATTGTTGTGCTAACGAGCCTCATGATAATGAGCATCAAGAGATGGAGGAAGGACGGCAAAGCTCTGGGCTTCAAGAAGAGGCGATATCAGATATAGGCGGTTCTGTTGAGCTGAAAGGTGATGAATGTCTGGAAGCTGTGGAAGAGAAACATGATCAAACTAATTGTGGTTCTAACAAGCCTCATGATAATGAGAATCAAGAGATGGAGGAAGGAATGCAAAGCTCTGGGCTTCAAGAAGAGTTGACATCAGATATGGGCAGTTCTGTTGAGCTGAAAGGTGATGAATGTCTGGAAGCTGTGGAAGAGAAACATGATCAAACTAATTGTGGTTCTAACAAGCCTCATGATAATGAGAATCAAGAGATGGAGGAAGGAATGCAAAGCTCTGGGCTTCAAGAAGAGTTGACATCAGATATGGGCAGTTCTGTTGAGCTGAAAGGTGATGAATGTCTGGAAGCTGTCAAAGAGAAACATGATCAAACTAATCGTGGTCCTAACAAGCCTCATGATAATGAGCATCAAGAGATGGAGGAAGGACTGCAAAGCTCTGGGCTTCAAGAAGAGGTGACATCAGATATGGGCGGTTCTGTTGAGCTGAAAGGTGATGAAAGTCTGGAAGCTGTGGAAGAGAAACATGATCAAAATAATCGTGGTTCTAACAAGCCTCATGATAATGAGCATCAAGAGATGGAGGAAGGACTGCAAAGCTCTGGGCTTCAAGAAGAGGAGACGTCAGATATGGACTGTTCTGTTGGAAATGTGGAGTTTCAAGAATGTTCTATTTCCAAATCCACCAATAGTGGAAAGGATCTGAAAGATGATGAATGTCTGGAGGCTGTTGAAGAGAAACATGATCGAAGTTATCATGGTTCTAACAATCCTCATGATAATGACCATCAAGAGATGGAGGAAGAGTTGCAAAGCTCTGGGCTGCAAGAAGAGGCGACATCAATCACAGGAAATAATCTAGTTTCTTGTGATCATAAACCTGAGGTAGAAGCTGAAGGGTCGATTAAAGAAGATTTAGTACAGATGCCTGAACAAGTAGTATCAGATTCCCTGACACTTAAACAGGGTTTTTGTGAATCAGGTAATAATGAACAGTTTAACAGATGTGATGAAAATGCTAAGAAAAACAGTAGAAATGAAAACAAGAGTCATGAACCGCAGCAAGGAATGTCTGGAAGTCCAGTAGAAAGTGAACATACTAGTACAAAATTAGAACCATTTGCTGAAGACCATAAAGAGTAAGATATATTTGTCAATTGAAGGGCGTCGTAAGATGTAGCAATTATTACTCCCATTGCATGAAAATCGCATAAAAATATCTTATTTTGAAGCATTGTAAAGCTCTATCATCCATTAGAGCCATTTTTTCCATTCCAACCTAATGTATTATTTGTTGCATCTACTATTATTTTTATAACCTCACAATCGTTGGTCAGGTTGACTTGTTTTGTTCTTACGTCGGGTTTCTAATTCCCAAAGCTATATAGTTCTATGATAGCCAACTCCTTTTCGTAATTTACTACAGAATATAAATAGTGAATTGTTATTAGTTGTAAATATGAATATCTGTTAGGCAAAAATTAGCCATTTAGGATTATTGTAGAAAATATGGTTTGATTAGTACAATCCCCTCTCTCCATATGCTCGCAATACCGTACCAAATCAATCTTTTCAACTCCCAAGCATAAGCGTGGAGTACATGCACTTTTGCAAAAGAACTAAACAATAATGAGAGGAGCAGTTTTGCAAAATGAACTTATTTAAGAATGGGGTTCAACGAAGAAAGAGCCTTAGTAAAATGTGTTGACTTCGAATGGTCAATTTTTCCCACCCTAATAACATATTCCTTGTTATCAAGGTAAGGAGATTAAATCATTATTAGAAATGATTTTCTTTATTTAACAAAGTTATAAATAAAGTAGCCTCCATGCTTTTTAGGACGCTCTGCCCTACTTCCGTTGAAGTATCATCATGCTATTTGCATCTTGTTCTATTACATCGCTTGATATCAATAATTGAATTCAACCCATAGCTGGGTGATCCGTTTCTCGGCTTTTCAACCGATCAATGTGCCCATAATTACATTAAAAAAAATCATTTTGTCTCCGTTTGTAAACTATTTCAAAAATATGACATTTTCTCTAAATATAACATCAATTTGTCTATGTCTAACTGTTGACTAGCCTTCATACTCGAGTATGTGACCTTCGTACTCGAGTAAATCAAGTATTATGAGTTTATACTCGAGTATAAGATCTAAATATTCGAGTATTTGCTGTTCCACGCAAATACTCGAGTATATGGGTCATGTATTCGAGTAAATAAGATCAATTTTTCTACTGGAAATTTTTAACTTGTAGCTCTCAAAAAGTTATGTGGAATCAAAAAAAGCATATGATTCGGACACCCGAATCAAAAATTATGACCTTCCGAAGTTTTACGGTTAATATTGAGATCTGTCAATGAACAATTGTCCAATTAATGGATTGAATTGGCATGGGTGATTCGTAAATAAGCGAATTATTCTTAGTGATTGTAGAATCTTTTTGCTTTCAATCAATTCATGTTTTTTTTTTAATTTAAGTATAAATAAGTAATTCGGGAGTTGTTTTCTTTTTTTCATTTAGAACTAGAATACTTTTGCATATTTTTTATCATCCATTTTGTTATTGCTTTTGAGACATTTAGAAACAATTTTGTTCTTTTATTTAAAACTAGAAAAAAATTAGTTTTCAATTTGTTCGTCTTTCTTTTGAGTTATTTAAAAATAGGATAAAAAAAATGAAAGTCGATCTCGAGGATAACCAGAAAAAGGCAATTCTAATCCCCCTCCCCCCAAAAATAATTGTTAAAAAATAATTTTATTTTGTCATAGTCGGTTCGGACCTTCGCTTAGTTTCATCCAAGCTTTAATCCTGGTCATGGATCAATCACCCAGGTTCGAGTCCATAAGCAGTAACAATTGCCCTATGAAGGCTCGTTTTCGCTACGGCTCCGGTGGTTTCCCTTAACCAAGCCACTGCCTAAGAGTCGCTAGCTCATTCTTAAAAAGGCACCCGGTCAGAGCCATGGGCTGGGCTCCTTCCACTGCTTGGGAGATTACGGTTTCATGTTCTATTTCATTCCCCAATAGGGGTTCTTTTCACCCTTCCCTCACAATACTGCTTTACTATCAGTCACCCAGGAGTATTTAGCCTTGCAAGGTGGTCCTTTTTGATTCACATGGGATTCCATGTGTCCCATGCTACTCGGGTCAGAGCGTAAGCTAGTGATGCTTTTGGCTACTAGACTCTCGCCATCTAGGGTGCAGCACTCCACTGCTTCGCCTGGCAGCACGACGCTTGTATAGCTCTCCTACAACCCATTTTCACGATTTAGGCTACTTCTATTTCGCTCGTCGCTACTATGGGAATCGTTTTTGCTTTCTTTTCCTCTGGCTGCTAAGATGTTTCAGTTCGCCATGTTGTCTCTTGTCTTCCCGTGGATTCAGTAGCAGTTCGAGAGGTTGACCAATTCGGGAATCCTCGGATCTACGCTTATTTTCAACTCCCCAAAGCATTTCGTTGCTTACTACGCCCCTCCTCATCTCTGGGTGCCTAGGTATCCACCATAAGTCTTTCCTCATTTGAACCTCGGCCTTCACTAGAAGACTATGCCCCATCCTAAGGTGCTACTAGATGAAATGATCTTATCAACGTCCATGAATGAAAAATCATAGTATAGATCAAACCGCCGAATCAAAAAAATTGGGTGTTATCATATAACTTTGTATCGACTAAGTTCACGAGTTAGAGATAAGCAGATTCGAACCACTGGCATCCACCACGGGGTAAACCATCGCCTCTCAGGTCCCGACTAATTCTACGTAGGGCCGACGATAAACTAATTCTACTTGAAATAAGACATAAAAACTTGTACCAATCTTTAACTTGGTCATGCAAATAAGATCACAAGGGACAAAATAACAAAAGGAATTAGATATTTGAAGCTAACAGTTACTATTGGTTCCTTGGTATTCAATAATCAGACCAAGTCCAATAAATTTTAGATTCTTCTAGAATGTTATTTGGATGCAAATAACTCAATTAGGTTACTCTAAACAAAATTCCAACTCAGAATTTGACACTTAAGAAACATAATCTGGTACTTAGAATAATGATGTGAAGGCATAACCTAAGTTAACCTGAGAGCCAAGGAAGATTCAAGCTGAGCTCTTGTGGGCTAGGCATCCATCACCTGGTGACCGTATGACATAAAGAAAAATCTTTGGCAAAATAATTTTTTCTTATTCGGGTAGAGCTCCGGTGGGCTAGGCATCCATCACCTGGTGAGAGTCTTAAGTTATGGTAACAAACCCAATGATAGCAATGGTGTAGCTCTTACAATCCTATAACATTGGTTCTTTACTAAGACATTATGGAAAATATTACAAAATATAAATAACTTTAAAAAATTTCAATACACTAGGTGAGTATAATGAGTCTCTAAATAGCTTTTTGATACAATCAAATGATGTATCCCTCGAATTCAACTATGTAACTTAGGGGTTTTACTAAGTCATTATCAATAATATTACATAATATGAATTCTATTCAGAAGCTGCGATAAACGTGGCAGCCAAATCATGGATAATAAAGAACTTATCACACACTCTAAAAAGTGTAATCCTTAAATCTAGTTAGTTAGGGGTTTGATGAAGGCATAATGGATAATATCCCCAAAAAAGATTTTATTAAAATAGTTTAAATAGGATTATCCTGAGTCTTGACAAAATGGAACAAATAAATGCAACACTTAACAAATTAATATGTCCAATTAGGCTGAGAACTTACAGGAAAAGTAGGATTGTGGACATCACCAGAAATTACAGTGTCAAGATCATGAAAAAGTCAATGGTCAGGTGTGTCATAGCGACCATCGCATAAATCAAGACCTCCTACAAAAGCAATTATCTTTCGATAATTTCCAGCAACCTCTGTGTCCACAATATCACATTTTTGGTGGTGTGCGAAGACACTTCCAACAACATGTGTTATACCACATCATAAACAACTTTACTACGCCAATTCTCTCAATAAACGGGAGATCATTTAGCAAAGATGAAGAATGATAATGTAAAAAGCAAAGGGGGGCACAGAATAAACGGACATTTATTTGTAAACTTTAAATAGAGAAACAGTCCTATGAGGAGATCTATTTCTTATGTTCCATTTTGCATCTACAAAGAAACACACCCACGATTTAGAGATTGGGCCACAAAACACAGGGGATAACTCTTTTGACTCCACTCAAAATTAGCTCATAAAGAATCATATCTCCTGGTTATATTATGCAGGAAAGTGTATCAAGTTTGTTGCTTCAATACTTGCATGTTGGTTTAAGAAGCTCATCTTGCTGCTAGCATAGCGAGGTCTAGAACACACGTAAAAGAATGTTTAAAAAACTTCCTCGTTTCCTCACCATGAGTCTGCATTACTCCAGCTCGCACCAAAAACACCAATTAGCAACTAATTGAAATTATCACAAAAGCAAAGAATACTAAAATAAATGCCTAGGACTAATAAACCCTCACCGTCTTGAAGAAGAACTTATCATGTGAAGTCTTATCATCCCAAACAAGTAACAGAACTCGCACCCCTTATTCATATATGTACTTGAACTCACAAAGCGTCAAATCTCCACCTTATGGCGAATGCCTAATTGGCTCCCTAACAAGATTCATCTTGTGATAAATTGACCAACCCATAAAATACACTATGTGGTGAGCCTCAAATATAGCATAACCGATATTTTCCCAACATTTCTCGTGCCTAAAAACCTTTCCACCATCAAGCTTAATCTCTGGTACAGTCTCATTGAGACAATGTGCATCTTGGTACAACCTCACCGAACTTCGCTTCCTCAACAGAAAATATGTGTTGTTCATGACCTTGTTCTTGGGATGTGCCACAATGCCTCGTTGGTACAACGAGTTCTAATTCATCGACTTGAACAACATCGAGATGCATAGCGAGGTTGTTGGCTTCAGTTGCTCCCCGGATGGGCAAATTATCGGGAACAAGCCAAAAATCAGGTCGTCGATGACAATATTCGATGCCCCATGAACTAGATCAGAATCATTCTCAATGAGCCTATAAGAAATGATCCTATTTTTTTCAACAAGTCAGGCGGAATCTTAACGACGCCTATTGTCTGGACTTTTTTACCATTGTGATTACATAAAAAATACCAATTTCTCCCCTTTTTAAACTGTTTCAAAAATATGACATTTTCACTAAACATAACACCAATATGCCCCTGTTAGACGTTTGACCGGCCTTCATACTCGAGTACGTGACCTTCATACTCGAGCAAATCAAGTGTCATGAGTTTATACTCTAGTATAGGACCTAGATACTCAAGTATTTGTTGTTCCATGTAATATACTCGAATATATGGTTCATGTACTCGAGTAAATGAGACCAAATTTTCTGCGGGGATTTTCCAACGCGTAGCTCTCGAAAAGTTATGTGGAATAAAAAAAAGCACCTGAGTCGATCACCCGAGTCAAAAGTTATGGCTTTCAAAAGTTTTACTCTAAAATTTCTAAAATTTTGTAATGCCAATAGGTTTTGTAATAACCACAAAACTCCTCCTCAGGTTACTCGAGTCAAGTCCAATAATATGAGTATATGACTATAGAAACTTGTTTAATCCAAAAAATCTTATGAATTTTTTTTTCCATAAATCTTTGAAAGACCATATTTTTTGACTTAGGTGTCCGAATTTGGTGCTTTTTTTTATTCCATATAATTTTTCGACAGCTACACGTTGGAAAATTTCCAGAGGATTATTTGTACTGTTTGAATGAAAATTTAAATAACAATTTCACAAAGATAAAATATGCCAAATGGGGCACAAAAAAGCATTTTTTTTTTTACCAAATCTCCAAGCGTGAAATTTTTTGGTGCAAAAAAGCACCTAATTCGGACACCCGAGTCAAAAGTTATGGCCTTCCGAAAATTTACTCTAAAACATTCAAAATTTTGTGATGCCAATAGGTTTTGTGATTCCCACAAAACTTGTTAGATCCAAAAAATGTGGTATTCCTGAAGTTTTACGATTAAATTTTTTTCCATGAGATTTTTTGGATCAATCAAGTTTCTATAGTCATATACTCATAATATTAGACTTGACTCCAGTAACCTGAGGAGGAGCTTTGTGGGTATCACAAAACCTATTGACAATACAAAATTTTGATTCTATATAACTTTTTGATTCTATCACAAAATCATAATATTTTTTGATTCTATATAACTTTTTGAGAATTACACATTGAAAAATTTCCATAAGAAATTTGTTCTCATTTACTCGAGTGCATGACCTATATACTCTTGAGTATAAGGTGCGGACGATAAATACTCGAGTATTTGGGTCCTATACTCGAGTAAATGTTAAGAAAATTCAGATGACGAACAATACTCGAGTATTAAGATATTGTACACGGGTATTTGTCGTTCCACACAATATACTCGAATATATGGGTCATGTATTCGAGTATATTGCACGGTCAACGATCAAATAGAGACAAATAGGTGAAATATTTTGATACAGGGGCAAAGTGATATTTTTTTATATAATCAAGGACACAATGCGTTGTTCGGTTGAACATCTTTCATTTTCGTTTTGGGCTTGCTAAGAGCACAAATCATATTTGGTCTTTGTTTCGACCAGTGTTATTAAAATCGGCCCGATTATTGACCCGGTCAAGGTACCGGGTCACTGGGTCATTAGTTCAACCAGTGAGCCACTGGTTCAATTGCATGACCCGATAAATATATATAAATTTATAATTTATATTAAAAAATTATAATACATTTAAATACAGTAAAAATTAATACAAATTTTAAATATTTAAACTTTATTAATAATACATATCACGCTTCGTACAACAAGAAAAAAAATATCATGTTTCAAATGCAATGGCTTAGCAAACTACTCATTCAAGACAACAATAAATACAATCTGTACATACCACTTCCCAAGAAACCCACGCTTCGTATTCCAAGAAAAAAAATATATCATGTTTCAAATGCAATGGCTCCGCAAATTACCATTCAACACCATAGTAAATGCAATATGTGCATATCACTTCCCAAGAAACCCATTATATTTCTGTTTCACACGCTTCGTTCTTTTCACTCTGTTGCCACTGTTTATCTACTCCTTTTTTTTTTCTTTTCCGGGTAAGCACTCTTCTTCTTTATCATTGTTGCCATGGCCTTAAGCATCACCATCGTCCGCTTCGTTGCTGCAATGCTCGCCTCCGTTGCCTCTATACCGACCAGGATCTCTGGCAAGACATCTATACGCCATGTGACCTTTTCCTGGTGGATCCCATCCTCAGCCAAGTCATCTCCCCCATCCCGGCGACACTTTCCCTTCTTTTCTTTTTCTGTTCTATTTTTGACCCGATGAGTCACCAATTTTGGTAAAATCGGCCGGTTCACACCGAATTGTTTGCATGTTCGATCCATCACTCTACCCAGATCGGTCACCTGATCGGTTTATCGATTTTCGGTTCGAACCGACCGGTCCAGTCCGGTTCTTATAACACTGGTTTCAACTGTGCATCAGTCGCGCACAGTGATAAATCCGTAATTGTCTATCCTTTTAACTCTTGACATCCTTAATCCGCTGTCTCTCTTATTCTCAGCTTTGAAGTTTGAACGCAGCATCTTCCCTTTTGTCTATGGGCTTGATTTTTCTATGCTTTACTTCATATAATTCACAAAAAATGAATGGAACTCGTTAAAAAAAAAAAAAAAAAATTTACCCATTTTTTTTATGTATTGTATAAGAAACAAATTTCCCTTTATCTATACTCCAAATTGATTATCCCACCAACTCCCTCTCTCACTCTCTTTCTCTTTTTATATATTATATATTTACCGCCGTTGGGACGAGGAATTTTCAAAAAATAAACAAAAACTCTTCTCAGTTTATTATTGTTTGAAGGGAGTACCGACTTAAAAAAAAAAAATCATAACAAAAAATCAAAATATTACTTTTATTTAAAAGGGATAAGATATTGTAACAGCTAACTAGTGTTATTACCAATCAATTTTATCGTTAGATCGATCATATTGATCCAACGGTTATATTTATTTTCATCTTTGTATGGTTATGATTCCTCAAATTTAATACTTTATATTTATTTCCACATTTATATGATTATGATTTCTCTTATTTAATATGAATAATAACTATACAAAGATGAAAATAAATATAACCGTTAGATCCATATAATCGATCTAACGGTGAAAATGATTGGTAGTAATATTTGTAGTAATACTAGTTGATTATTATAATATTCTACCCCTATTTAAAAAGAATTTTTTTAACTTATAAAACAATTTCAATATCATTTTTTTATTTGAACATTTTTAATATTGTATTCACACACAAAAATTCTTTTTTTTTTTTTTTTTATATATTCTAACAAAACAAAACAAAATAAAATCCTTTTTCCTTAAAACCATGTCCCCAAAGTTTCATGAATTGAGTTCGGTCCAGTTTCTTAAAAGTTAAAACCATCGCTGCATATTCTTTCTCCCCTCACCCCACCACGTTGTGATCAATTTGCAAATCATTTTGTCCAAAACCCTTATAAAAAGTTTGAAGCTTTTGAGTTTTTGAAGGTGAGAGGCATGCAAATTCAACACCACCGTAAGATGCTTATACTGTATGCAACTCAGACAGGAAATGCATTGGATGCAGCTGAACGTCTTGCTCGCGAAGCTGAACGAAGAGGCTGCCCCATCAACCTTCTCTCTCTCGATCAATATGATCCTGTCTGTGTTCCTCTTTTAAATGGAACTTTTATGTGTGATTTCATTTTCTTTCTTTTTTTCTGGTGTTTTGCACTGTTGGGTTTTGCAAAAGTGTTCTTTTGAATTGAAAGTTGAAAACGTAATGTTGATTGCTATGTACAGAGTTTGTTACCACGGGAGGAGGCTGTGATTTTTGTGGTTTCTACCACAGGCCAGGGTGATACACCTGATTCCATGAAGGTTACTTTTAAAGGGTCTTTTATATTCTATCTAGTTACTTTTTGTGGCATGATTTGAGGTTTTTTTTTTTTTTAACCGTTTATTTTACTGATTCTTCTTTTGCCTATGCAGGTCTTTTGGAGGTATCTTCTTCAGAGAAACCTAAACCAGCATTGGCTGAAGGGGATTCTCTATGCTGTTTTTGGTTTGGGTGATTCTGGTTATCAGAAGTACAATGTAACTATTATGTTTGTTTTATTCGTTAGATAAAGTATTGCAACTATGCAGCATCGATACTCCAATTTTTTTTTTTCCAATGTATCCGATACGCGTATCGGAAACTTATTGTATCGTATCGACGAATTAACGGTCGTATCGAGAACGTATTGAAAACGTCATGTCGGAGTTGGTGCTTCATAGTATTGCAATGCTCATTAATGCTGCATCGTTTGTTGACTATGTATATCTTGATGCTGAATCATTACGAGCAAAATAGACACTGGGTGATATTGAAAATAACTTAGTAACTGCACAATTTTGATGGAAGCCATTTTTACTGTCTTTGAAGTATCTTTATTTTCTCTACTTTGATGCTTTGTATAAACCCTCACGTGTGAACCATTGTAGTTTGTTGCAAAGAAGCTGGACAAAAGATTAATGGACCTTGGAGGAACAGCTATAATAGAAAGAGGCTTGGGAGATGATCAACACCCTTCAGGGTATGGTTATGGATCATGTTGTCAATTAAGAAAGTTTTGCTTGATTTAGTTGAAACATATATACCTTTATGCTTGTGGAATATGAAAAGCTTTGATTTGATTGGGTTATTGATTTATCAAGAATGTACTAATTTAGTATTCAATTCTTTTCTATTATTATTATTATTGGTTGATATTCATTCAAGTGTGAGAATACTTCTCTTCTTTTCTTTGATAAATGCTTCCTTTAGTAGAAAACATATTATCTAAGCATGGGAGTAAAAATGTAAAATGCTAATATCTATATATGATGTGATCTGTGAAACTAAAAGGGTTTGAAACATCTATACTATTTATAATGCCAAAATATGGGGTTTGGTCTCTGTTGTCTGCCACTAACACCAATAAAACAAAAAATATATATATTCAAATATTCAATGAATACCTTTGTCTCTGATGTGACTGCTATTGTTTGTCTGCATTCTTTAACTTATAAGGTTACAATGGCAAAAACATAGGTTGATTGAGTAAAGTTCTTTGGAAGATATGAATCTACCTTTACGATTTCTGTATTAGAGCTTGTTACTACCTGCTATGGAGAGCTCTGTTATACTCAATGAATTCCTTGTGCTGTGTAGTTGATCTTTGTTTATTAAATTATTTTTTTTTTTAATCAAAATTTTTCTTGTCCTCTTTGTTCATTGTAATGCACAATTATTTTTTAAAAGACTAAAGATGGTATAATTATTTGTAGCTATGAAGGTTCTCTGGATCCTTGGATGTCTTCTCTGTGGAGAATGTTAAACATGATTAAACCAGAATTCTTACCAAATGGACCTGATGTTTTGATTCAAGATACATTATTGATTGATCAACCAAAAGTCAAAATCACATATCACAACATTGAAAATGCTGAGTCACATTCTTCTACTACCTCAGGTATCTCAACCAAAGTCATTAAATTCTTGGTTGACTTGCAATGTTTCCTTAGTAATTAGTTTTTGGCATCATGGAAGTCTTTGCACGTATTTTGCTTTTATTGTTTACAATTTACCACCTATATTGAATAGGATGCATATCAAATGCTTAGATAATAAGACTTTACATATTAAATAACGAACTAGCACAAAATAGGTAGAACCCTTTGCTTTTATTACTTTATTACATATGTGATTCTTTCAGATTTAACGTGTCTTGATATTCAAATTGGGAGTGCTCGTTCAATGCATTCTGGAAAATCATCTTCTGACAGAAGTAGGCCGGGCTGCTTTCTTAAAATGGTATTGTATAAGACACTATATCTTTGTTAGTTGTAAACCATTTTTGAATATGCTCATTCTGCTGATTGCCAGTACTTGGTAGCATGATCAATGACAAGGCGCTGTGCATTGTCCATCTATTTCTATGCATTGCACTGGCCAACCTATATGGTAGATAGATCAATTCATCAGCTCCTTTGGAGTAAAGAATAAGACATTTGATCTGTAGCATTGTAGTGGTTTATATCAATTAAGAGTAACAAAGGGAATGTTATTTCTGTATCAATCTAGAAAAGTGTGTATGAGCAGTTTGAATTGAATATATATATATATATAGGGGCTCTAACTTTATATATTTATCATAAACCAACTCTTCCAAAAGTTTAAGCTGTGGGGTGAATTATATCTAACAATATTCAATATATTTATTCATCTTTTACCAAGTCATCTACTCTCTGTTGCATGCCTCGGTTAACTTGATTCTGATCGAGCAGGTGAAGAATCTTCCTTTGACCAGATCAAACTGTGGAAAAGATGTTCGTCATTTTGAATTTGAATTTGTTTCACTTGTAAGCTATCTTTTGTCTTCTTTAACCTTGCTGTACATAGATGTATAAACTTGAATTCATTTTTTTTGGTATGAGGTTACATATTAAGAACAGATTACTTTGCTTCAGATTCTATTTTTACATCATGTTGTAAAATAGCTACACAGCTATTTATCTTCCTCATTTGAATTAAAAGATGCATTATGGGTTCCTCAGGCTTTTGATTATGATACTGGTGATGTCCTCGAAATTCTACCTGGTCAAGATTTGGCTGCAGTTGATGCTTTCATACGACGTTGTAATTTGGATCCTGATTCATTCATCACCGTGAGTCTTGTAAGATTAGTTAATATTAATGTGGTTCTTCGACCTTGCTCAACATTGAATTCACACTATGCTTCCTCATTGTTTGACACATTTAATCAGCTAAAATGAACTCTTCTCAATGTGATTTAGAAATAAAGGAAACAAGCCATAAGGTTTTTGTACCATTGCTTAATGCTTCCAGTGTTTTAGAAGTCATGTTCTCACTGAATAGTTTTCTTTATGGAAATAGTAGAAACATATAGTTGCTCATGTCTGCTTGTGCTTTGCTTTTGTGCATGCCTTCAACCCCATTGCCATTTTTTATTAAATTAATATTTTTCTTTGATGTGTTTGTGTAAATTTTTCTTCTAAGAGATCCCTTAATTTCAGGTTAGTCCTATAGAAATGGACGATCACATTGCACATGGCTCTAGAGTCCCTTTAAAATTAAGAACTTTTGTGGAATTTACAATGGATGTCGCTTCAGCTTCCCCTCGGCGGTATTTCTTTGAGGCAAGATGCAGTATGTTTTGACTGTCCTTTTATTATGTCGTTTTAAAAGAGAATTACCTAATTGAATTCAATGTTTCCCTCTTTCTTTTATTTTATGTTCTTTCCCTTCTTTTTTATTTGAATTTTTTCATCTTGGTTGTGAGGATTTAATGAGTTAATAAAATGCTCAAGTTGGTTGCATTGTGGAATCTAACAGAGACCCACACAATGGGCTGAGTAATGTTGATAAACATCTAGCTGTTAAATTTCCCAGTGTTATCTAAAATCTCAATTACTCTTGTCTCTTCTTTTTATTGTTTATCATATTTCAGTTGTTCTTTCTAATAATTCAACCTGTTAAAGGTCATTGCAATAAAAGTATGACAAATGTCTTCTTTGAACTACATTTGATTAGTGATAAACAACTGATACCACCCCTGGGAGAATGAGTCTCACTAATGAAATATTCTTCACCTAAGTTTTTATTAGCATTGTATTTGTACATACCTCTTCTAAAACATCTAGGGTGAGAATGAACCTGATATTGAGTTTGAACCTTCATTACTTAGTCTGAGATTGGTTTTGGACTTACAAATTAAGATCATGAAGAATTATAGAAGGACCCAAAGAACAATTTGTTGGAGGAATGGGAAAATGTGAAGGCCATTTTGAAGGGTCATAATAACAAAGATTTATGGGAATTAGAAGGGTGTGTTTATTTTGAGGGAACCTATTTCTAGAAAGAAATATTTTTTATTTATTTATGTGCTTAGGAAGAGTTTTTGAGCAAAAAAATGTGTTGATAACACAATTTATTTTTATTTCCACTGAGAGAGAATATGTATTTAACAAATAATATGTATTTAATCCTAATAAAACATCCTACGATGTATGCATTTAATAAATAGTGTGGCAGAGAACAAAAAAGCAAAAAAAAAAAAAAAATAATAAAAAATTAAGTTCTATCAATTTGTGTTCTTGGGCTACTGATTCATTCTCTGGAATAGAAACATGAACCGATTGTATAAAAAAAACTATTTCTAGCCTATTTTGTTCCATGACTAAAAATAATCAACTTTTTTGGGAAAGTTGTAATTTACACCCGAAGCAAATCATAATAAGGACTACATTCTAAGTCATAATAGCAGCATGGTTGAAACAATCGTAAAGTACATGAGAATCACTCAAGAGTAATTAATCATACTGTATAAAGAGATTATCATTGTACAGAGAGAAAGGCAGAAAGGGAAAACCCCCAATGCACAAGGCTCTCCGACTTACGAGGGTAGGGGTGAGGGTCAATTGTACGCAATTTTACCCTTGCATTTTTGCAAAGAGGCTGTTCCCATACTCTAACCCGTGACCATTCAATTTTAAGGAGCTACCTTATTGTTGCTCCAACTCCAAGGCTTGCCCTCAAAGACATGATAAATTAATTAAAAGATTCTCATGATTGAATCATTTTATAGGAACGTGATAATTTCTTAAATATTGAGACAGAGGAAAGAAGCGCAATAAAAGTGGATGTCATTCTGGATATTTTTGAGCTTCTGCATGAATTGAGTCTTACAAACATGCTTTTTTACATGCCTGTAACTTCGTGTATTAAAAGCTAACGTAGGAATAATTTGATGTTCCAGGTTATGAGTTTTTTTGCAACAGCTGAACATGAGAGGGAAAGACTCAAGTATTTTGCTTCACCTGAAGGAAGAGATGACTTGTACCAATACAACCAGAAGGAAAGGAGAACTGTTCTTGAGGTAAGGTCAATGAGCTGTACATAATACATGATTTTGCTTTGATAGTCACTTCGTTACTTTTATGCCCTGAATTCTTTTCTTTTTTCCCTGATGTGTTAAGCAGCTTTGTTTGGTTTGCAAGAAAGTGGAGAATGCTCAAGGGCTGTGTTTTGAAATTAAGACAAGCTAAAATTGGTGCATGAATAGAAAAGAAATGAAGAAACTATAATGGATGAGTTGGGTGGTTCTTAATGACTCAAATGTTATGCAAAAATAGACATAATGGGAGCATATAGATATTGTCTACCAAGATTAGTGAAATAAGACATTACTTTTTAATAAGGGTTAAAATCTTATGATAAAGGAAATCATTAGACTACAGTTTTAGTCCCAAAATTTTGGCCCTGATTTCAAGTTAATTGGTGTATATGAATTAAATTAATAAAAAAAAATTATTTTATTCAATGTTGGTCATATGACTTCTTTTTCTTTGGCATGAAATATGCTAAAACTGATCAAGACATGTTGGCTATTATATTTTTTTGTCTTCAAAATCAATTTTTTATCTATTTTCTTAAAAGGTATTGGTATTTCTATATTAATACGAGAGTACTAATAGTTTGAGCTAAATACATTATTTCTGTAGATTTTTATTTGGCACAATTGTTTAGGAAAGAAGGAAAAAGAAGTTAAAGGAAAATTTTAACAAAGGGGCTTGATTTGTTACATGAGGAATGTAGAAGTAGGTTCCAAAATTTGTCGCAGTTCTGGGATTTTATTTTATATTTAAATGATCATATTATGTTTTTCTTCTTGAATAATAAAATAAGTTTCATTGGAAGGGGAGTAGAAAGGAAGAGGGTAAGATAGCCTCCTAAATGAATGATAGTTGTTTAATTTAGCTTCCAATTAACAATTGTTAGATATTCCTTGATTGTCTGCTTTTGTTTTCTTGTCTGTTTCATGGAATCAAACTTATGCATAAATTCTCTTTGTTGGAAAAAAAAAAAGGTGTTAGAGGATTTTCCTTCTGTACAAATGCCATTTGAATGGCTAGTCCAATTGGTTCCTCCACTGAAAACAAGAGCATTCTCCATATCTTCTTCTCAATTAGCTCACCCCAATCAAGTGCACTTGACTGTGAATGTGGTTTCCTGGACAACACCTTACAAGAGGAACAGAGAAGGACTATGCTCCTCATGGCTAGCTGCGTTAGATCCCCGAGATGGTATGTACACAAAATAAGCCACTTCTTGCACTTTATTTTAGTGAAAGTAACCACCAGTTCACCTGTTTGTGTGCTTAATTTTTTTGTTTTAAACAGCCATCTATATTCCAGCCTGGTTCAGTAAAGGTTCCCTTCCAACACCATCACTATCACTTCCCCTCATACTCGTTGGACCCGGGACGGGTTGTGCACCCTTTCGTGGATTTGTGGAGGAAAGAGCAGTGCAAAGTAAAACTCATCCCACTGCTCCAATCATTTTCTTCTTTGGCTGCCGGAATGAAGATGTTGACTTTTTGTACAGAGATTTCTGGTTGACTCATTCAGAGATCAATGGGGTGCTTTCAGAAGCAAAGGGTGGAGGTTTCTATGTTGCTTTCTCAAGAGACCAGCCCCAGAAGGTTTATGTTCAACATAAGATGAGGGAACAAAGCCAAAGGATTTGGAACCTACTAGCTGAGGGGGCTGCTGTTTATATAGCAGGTTCTTCAACCAAAATGCCTGCAGATGTTACATCAGCTTTTGAGGACATTGTATCTAAAGAAAATGGGGTTTCAAGGGAAGCTGCAGTTAGGTGGATTAGGACATTAGAAAAGTGTGGTAAATTTCATATTGAGGCATGGTCTTAGGAAAGCCTTGAATTCCTGAATTTTAGTGTGAGGTTTAATAGGTGTCAAGAAGATCCAATAATATTATAATTTCTCGAGGTCTAGTATTGGTGGCTTGGATCAGATTGATGCATATTTTTTGTTGTAAAATTGGACCTTTGGTAATGTATTTATTGCCAATAATAGGTAACTTTCCCTGATTTTTTTTTTATTCATTTTTCCTTGGACTCCTCGCTCAATTAAGTAGTGCCTTTTGCATTCCTCCTATAACCTTGTCCAAACGTTTGATCTCACGGATTACAGTTTCAAAAGATATTTCATTGAATAATTATTTCTTATAATGATTATTATCACCTATGATTTAAGGCAATGAGCTTATCATTTCATTTCATGATTTATATATGGAAAAAAATGCTTGTTATTTTAAAGGATGGTTATTTTAGTTAAAATTAGTATTTTTTATTTAAAATTTAAATTAAAAAAAATCCCATTTCCCCCCCTATAATATTCATTGTATATTTTTTTATTTATTTAAAATGACACAATTCTATGTATTTTAAAAGGATAAATACTAATTCGTTTAAATATTTATATATATTTTTCCCTGACCAACGGAGATGATTCCATATGCACAAGGCCAACGAAAATGGGATTTATAGTTGTACAATGAAAAGGTCATATTTCAATGTAGTACCATGAAAATGCACTTGTATTTGGTACAAGTTATCTTGAAACATTGCTAGACATCTGAAAGTGAATAAGTAGTTTGTCCATATTTGATAGAAGTTATTAAAAAATTTGCCTAGCTATCCTATTTCCCCAATAATTGAACTTTGTATGCAAAATTTGACCAAAAATACTGTGCACAAATCCTTATTCAACGGTGGTATTTGGGTGATACCCAACTAAGTGTAAAAGGTGAACATAGGAGGTGCCAAAATTATCCTTTGAAAAAGGCTGAATAACCCTTTAACTTGATGACTTCAACACTAATTCTCATTGGGATTATTTTGTATAGGCTTATTTTGTAATTTCAGCATGGTTTCCCATCAATATTTTATCTTCAACTAAATATAGATTTTAGGGAATTTCACTCAATTTTTCTAGTAATATTTTTTCTAACCAAACAATTTTTTTTTAACTTTCCTACCTAACTCATTTTTCTTGCAGATCCCTAGTAATCATGTTTTTCTGATAAATTTTTTTTTACTTGTACCAAGTTATTTATTTATTTGAGAACTACAAGAATATTAATAAAAGTTTTAATACAGCCATCAAGTCATTTATATAAAAAAATTCAATTTAAATGTTAGTTTTCATAATTGAGCGATTAAATTGACATTTACTTTATTTGTCAAAACAGATTAATATTGCTTCTATATTTAGAGACAAAATTAATATCGCTTATATATTTAGCAATTAAAATGAATGTTAATTAATAATCACTCTCCTCAATATGTAAAAGAGAAATTAAAATCGAGTGTAAGAGAATAAATTCATTTCATTTAACTCAATTTCCATTCTGCCAAATGGAATGGAAATAAATTCTCCTATCTTCTATAATTTAACTTTTATATTTTATAATAAAAAATCAAATTATTGAATAACTATACAAGACAAATAGAGTTAATAACAATTCTAAATGTGTTTACCAAAAAAAAAAATAACAATTCTAAATGTAGTTATTGCCCTTTTTTATTTTATTTTGGTATAAATATCATTTTCCTTTAATATATTTATAATAAATAATTTTTTTTTTACGTTACAATTTAATTATGTATAAATACATTATTATCATAAAAATTTCAACTTTTTAAAAAACATACTAAAACAAAATTAAATAATAATTTGCACTTATCAGAATTAAACAAAGAAAGAAATTGTTATATAAACAAACACAGGGATACAGCGCCAAAGGGTGCAGAGAGGTGAATTTGGTCGATCTGACTCTACCGTAGCTGTCGACTCAGTAGTTCGTGGAAAATAGTAAAGTAAGGCGGATTTTGTTTTGTTTGGTTCATATCTTCGATTCTTAAAATTTTGAATTGTTAGATTTTATGTTATCCTATCATTGCAACATGATAATGATTAATGAATTGAAAGGTTTTTATTTTATTCCTAGCAGTAGCAGTAGCAGTAGCTTTAGCACTCAACATACCTACTTCTTAATAACAAGTACTACAATTGCAGTTTCTTTGAATTTGGGGTTTAGGGTTTGTTTGTTGGGAGTGCCCTCGTTCTGTTTGTGAAAATGTTAAGGTTGTGAGTGAGGACATGGTATCTTGGGCTGACATGGTTGCTTTGTTTGCGTATTATAAGTTTTGAAAAATGAAATGAAATACAACAATCAGAGAAGTTGGGTTATGATTATGAAGATATACTTCTGATTAATTCTGTTTTATTTGCATTAGCTATTGTTGTCTTGTCGTTTATGAATTGATTTATAAGTTTTCTTCTCATGTTTTGAGTACTACTGTTATTTGTTCATAGGTCAATCACTTGCACTATTTGCTGAATTTCCATGTGTGCATGACATGAAACTAGTTTTTAAGCTACACAGTCTAATAGAGCTGATGGGATTTGGCTTGTATAAAGGTAGCAAGGATATGACTACTAAAAAACCATTCGTCAAAGAATGATATCTGTTTAGATGTCCCATTGCCCTTTTTTTTTTGTGCTTGTATTTTTCTTGGTTTCGTGTCACTTTTACCTTATTAGGACAATGGAATAATTTCTTCATTTTCTGCACTTGCATCATCTTGAGCATGGTAGTTAAAATCCCGATTTAAATCTGCGATTTTACGATTTTACGATTTTTTTCAATCAAAACGATTTCATTAAAATTCCAAACGCTTTTACGATTTTTTCTACGTTAGGATTTTACGATTTACGATTTTTTATCCTCCTTCCGATTTTTGGTAAAATCCCGATTTTAACTACCATGATCTTGAGCCTAATTGTGAAATTGTGCTAACTTTTTTTTGTTGTTTTTTCAAATCTTTCCTCATTCACCAAGATGGCTGGACTTTCGGGATATAGGAGCCTTCCACCCAAGGCAAAGAATTTGGTAGTTGCTGGGGGTTTGACAGCTTTTGTCTTTGGGGCGTACTTCTACACCATGAGAGCTGTTGGTGGTACTGATGAACTACAGGTAGCAATAGATAAGTTTGAAGCTGCCAAGAGCAAGAAAGAGGGTGACGCAGGCATGCCATAGAAGGTCTAAAGCTGATTGCTTGTGGAACAAAAACAGTACTTTGGGTGTATTCACCATTTTGGTTTGGGATGCAGGCTTTCTTCTTAGCATGAGAATATTAAAAAAATGATATTGAATCTTGTAGTTAATAAGTTTCAACCTGCTTTATGTACAATAACTGAATGGTAGGCAAACTATATTTGAGTTCTTTTTTTCTTTTTCTTTTTTTGCCTCATTTAGATACTTTGATGTTAACACAAATCTGGGATCATGATAAGTGTAAGAAAAGCTGCTACTTGAGTTATGGCTGAATGCCATTGCAAAAATAAAATGTAAATCATATACACTGGTTCTATTTTTGCTATATATTAATTATTAAGGTTGAAACTATTTCTATTCTAAAATTGCTTGATTTTAAGGTTGAATTTTGATTATACTAAAGTCCATTAAATTCCATTCATTTTGATTTTCGTTGAGTCGAAATTCTTTCATTATTTTGCTTATACTTAATCAAATTATTTCATTGTATTATATGTCAGACTGTCACTCTAGTCTAAATCTACCAATATTAATGTGTTTGGTTTGCCGTTAGGGAAATCCCAAATTATAATTTAGGCTAAAGTTTCTTTACTGTAACTCTAGTCCAAATCATATTTATAAGGTTCAAAACCAAAAGCCATACTATTATTCGGTTGTGGAGCTTTAGCTAAATGAAGAGATTGCTTCAGCAATTATGGAGTAACCAGAAAAGCAGTTTTTTCTAATTTGCCGGAGGTGGATGATTTGTAGAGACCGTAATCTATTTAGATAGTGTTAGTCTGTTAGAGAATCATAGAAAGGGCTTTTAAGCTCTACCAATAAATTTTGTTGGGTAAATTGCACGATATTAAAATACAGGGATGATGCGAACCATCAAGGGAGTAATTAAAGGCTCATGAGATAAAGTCTAAGTTGATAAAATTCACTGAATATAACCAATAACTATTAAATTTTTAACCGTGAATTAAAGTTTTGGTATCTAAACATCCATCGTGAAATAGATAAATGTATTATATTACGTTAAATAATTATTAGTTTTTGGTACGTGTAGTCTTAGCTCTTAAGTTTGATTTTAAAACTCATTTAAATAATAAAATTATTACTAAGATGAGTTCTCATATACAATTGAAATATAACACTTAGATTTCGAGTTTTAAAGTAGCTAGGTTTGGTCTATTAAAGAAGGATTTGGGTATTTTACTTGAAATCATAGGTTCATGTAAAAAAGTTGGGTTGGACTTTGACTTAAATAAGTCATGTCTATATAAAATATTTTCACCGTGTCTTGATCTGTTAGCCTTGTGTAGGTCCAGAGTATAAGTCTGGTTTGGCCTATATTTAAAAAACAAAAGCTTTGGTCTAGGTCTATTAGCTTGTTTAAGCATATTACACATTCAATAATTAAAAAATAATTAAAATAAGAGAAAAAGAGTATACTTATAACATATTTTCGTTTACAATCTCTTGCAACCACATCTTAACCGTTAATTTTCGTCAATCTGACGGTTATAATTTATTTGAAATTAATAATTAATTAATAAGTGTGACCTAATAAATTATAACCGTTAAATTGATGGAAGTCAATGGTTAAGATGTGGTTGTTAACAAAAATAAGTTGTAAGTATAACATTCTTCTTAAAATAATATTACATTATCTTTCAAAATTATTAAAATAATAATTTGTTTATTTTATTTAAAATAAATAATATGTCATAGGGCCGGTATGTAAAAGAAAGTATATAAGCTGTTTTTAAATAGAAAAAATTGAATCTATCCCATTTTATTATATATAATAGGTCGAGCCCGGGCCATCTGGTCCATTTCCATTCCTAGTTCTAACAATATTAAAAAAAGGGTTTAAGTTTAAAAAAAAAAAAAAAATAAACAAAATCCCAACAAAATAATCGGGCACCCGATTGAATGCGTGTCGGGGCGGGTCCATATAACGGAGCATCCTTATCTCCATTTCCAATTGTTGAGTTGCTCAGTTCACATTAACAAAATTCTACTTTGTCTGAGTGTGGTTGGCAACAAACATGTTAACGATGGCAATTCAGCCAAACATGGTTCCTACTCTGAATCTGAAGCCTTTAACTTTTCCATCTCTTCGACCCATTAAAGCATCACTCTTCACAAACCCAAAGCCCTTCTCCTCCTCACACTTATTGAAAGCAACACCCACAAGTTTTAGGCTTTCAGCTTCTGCTGCTGTTGCTGAAGATGCCCCTTCTTCTGAATCCCCTCCTCCTCCCCCTCCCCTTCCCCAGACTGAGGTTCAATCACCCTTTATCTCTCTTTCCTTGTTTTTTCACTTTTTTTTTTTTTTTTTTTTTTTTTATGTTTTTGTTTGCTCCAATGGTTCACCTATTTGTTCTGATGAATTGGAAAGTATCTATGTTCTTGTAATTCCAATGAGAATATTTAAAAGGGGTGCAGAAATTTCAGGATGTGCCATTTTAAATCTTGAAAATGCTTTCATTTCTCTATTAAATTTTTTTTTTAATATTATTTTCTTATGTATGCTTTATTTTAATTTTTTTAAATTGTTGTTGTGATTTAGAAGCTTGGAGTGGTTGTGAAGCCAACAGAGAAGCCAAGACTTGTGTTGAAGTTCATTTGGATGGAGAAGAACATTGGTATTGCACTTGACCAAATGATACCTGGGCATGGCACCATTCCTCTCAGCCCTTATTACTTCTGGCCTAGGAAAGATGCTTGGGAAGAGCTCAAGGAGTTACTTGAGAGCAAGCCTTGGATATCTCAGAAGCAGATGATCATTCTTCTCAATCAAGCTACTGACATCATCAATTTGTGGCAGCAGAGTGGTGGCAACTTGTCCTAAGCTCAATTGTATGATATTTCAAACTTTTTTTTTGCTTTCGTGGAGGATGTTGTGTGTCAATAGGATGTTTCCCTTTTAATGTTATGGTTCTTCTGTTGTAATGCATTTGCAGTCGAGCTTTTTTTCTTGCTATGTATACCAGACAAATGGGACATTATTTTTAGGTGAATCATTACTTTTTTGTGTATCTTAGTTTTGTCACTGAACTTTCTAAGTGGCAAAAGCTTGGTAGCAGGCCTCTTGGTGATTGTGTCAGTGCTTTATTTTTTCATTTATATCTAAATTACTTATTTTCAGATCAAGCACTTACTTATCTGTAGATTTTATACAAGTTTGTTGCTTGCACTGAACCATGTTACAGCTAGCTCCCATTTGCAAGCAGCCATAATCTAGGTTTGTGATTATTTGGTATCACTGGTTATCCTGATTTTCACCATTGTTGGGGTAAACTTAAAACCTACCATGAACTGTCATCTTAAAAGTTCACACAAATAAGTAGTGGTTTGCCCCTTGAACATTACGTTTTCGTCCTATATCAACTTCTGTTATCAACATTTTGCCTTTCTGGTTTGTAAGTCTGACATTCATAAGGAGAACAAGGTTGAGGACTTAAGGGAAGCTAAATTGTCACATTGGTATTACACTTGAGGGAAACCATATATGGCAACAGAATTGCCTTCAAAATGTTGTCGTTGGGATCTGGATTGGTTTTTACATATTCTCGTACTTAAATTTCTACATTTTTTTTTAGTTTTGCGTTTTGTTCACATTTGAAGAAACAATAAGAAAGGAAAGTTTTTTTTTTTTTTTGTGTGGGGGGCGGGGTCACAGTAACATAAAGTTTTTTGTTCATCTTTGTGCTGATTTGGTCCTCATTGACATCTTCCGGTCAACATGTTCATCATGCGTATGTATCTCCTTTTGAAAATATGTTCGACCTGTGCTTTCCATCACTGGTTTTCTTACTACAGGATTTACAGCAGGATCAGCTTGAGACCTCTGTGGATTCCATCTTATAGCATGGTAAGAAGTGTGGGCTGTTTCTTCACTCAAGTGTTCCTGTGCTGTTGCTACATCAGAACTGTTGTGATCATTATTATCAATTAGGAAGCTCTTGGCTGAGCCTAACTCACCAAGCATGTTGCCTCGTCTATTTGTATGTTCCTCCACGTGTTCCTTGGAAACTAACTCTGTATTCCCTGAGGTTTTTGTATCATCTCTTGGATTTTGACTTAAATGAGATTCTTCACATGTAAATTGTTTTTTGATTTCTCTCCCTTCCAATTCTTTAAGATCAAAACCATGGTTGCTCATTGAAATGCCTTCATCCCCATTTTTAGAACTTGAGCTCACCATGGGATGCACATTCACCTTGCCGAGTGCAACTCTATGATTTGAGTGTTTACTGACTTCAATCCCAAAAGATTCTGATTCCAAAGCTTCTTCAGCAGCAGCAGCAGCTGTATCCTTGTATCTCTTCTTTTCCTCGTTCCTATCAGATAAATCCACATCCTGGATTATTTTATCAGGATCATCTTTGGTATTTTCTTTATGCCTAGGATCATCAACACTACCCCATTTCCTGGTTCCCAGTTCCTCCTGCCTTCGGTCAACGTTCAACTTATTCTGCAATAGTAGAAGAGAATTTGTTTCACTATGAAATGTCACAATTCAATTAGGGCATGTTGCTATTTCTTTGTGGGACATGATTTTCTTACCGCAGTTATCAATATGGGGTCCTGTTCCAAATGCAAAGTAACTCCAACTTCTGTAGCTATGTGCTTTAGTGCTTTCATTCTGATTTCCATGGCCGGGCGTCTTGGGGAAAGCTTTTGTATCATCTAGATAAGCCAAAAAGAAAAGTTATCAGAATAATGGGATGATTATCTTGAATTGAGGTGTAAAGAGATCAAATCAGCACCTTAGAGTTCACTCTATTATTTGTGTGCAACTCGACAGCATGTTCTGCAAATTCTTTCCCAAATTTTGATGTGAAAATCTCTTGTATTTTGCGCAGCTCTGGAAATTCTCCACACCTTGAGGATGCAAAGATAAGGCTGGATGTTGCTTCCTTGAGCTCATCGGGGCACTCCCTATGTAAACATTTAAATAAAAATCTAATTAAACTAGGATATTAAAATATGTTTTATTAAACAATTAATCACCACTTAAGTTTGGTGCCCAAGATTCACTCAACTAACATAGAACTGAGGAGAAGAAAACTAACTTGTTCTTTTCAAGTAATTCAGCTTTTTCTCTCAGGAAATTGCAATAATTCTCTATCATAACAAACAAGTCCAACATGTTTAGCTCAGTTATCCATTGCTCCACCTGTTAGTCAGCAGAGGATAAATTTAATGTTCGCTTGTAAGAGAGAGAGAGGGAGAGACAAAGTGTGTGTGAGAAGTAAATGTTTGTACTTACACGAAGTAGAGCATGGTCATGGTTACCAAGATTCAAGAGTTGAGCAACATCAGACCGGGCATAGGAGGCTCGAACTTTGTGTTGGTTCTTCAAGATAACAATCCTAGAAACAGCAAGTGTGGTGATTGTTTTCAATTTGGAAGTGAAGCTTTTTCCAAGCAGACCCATATTTTCAATTATATCCTGATTCTGTAGATGATGACCTTAAGTTATGAATGGAATTTGTATGTATCCACAAGGGGAAGGCAATGATCGGAGACCCTTATATAAGAAAACCACAAGAGTTTAAATATGATTTATTCAATATGTTAATGTTTGCCTGTCACTTATAAATGAAACCTTCCCCCAGTACCTTAAATATGACTATGAGAATTCATCCTTTGTGTTGAACTGGCCTCACCCAAGGAAGGGTAGCTCTTATCTGCTTTCATAAAGACCAGAAACTAAGACAATTTCCATTGTTAGCTTCAAGAAAGACCTATTACTTTATTGGCATGGGGGCTATGAAAAGGTCACCGCCGGGATGTCAAGTAGGATTCTTGCAACTAGTTTGAATGGTCAAAAACCTTATATTGTTATCCTTTTGTGTTTTGTAAATAATTTATTTTATCTTATTTGGTTGAAGAAGTTATAGGAAAGAATTGGTTCGGTAAGCCACCATTTGTTCACCAAGAGTTGAAAATTTGAGGCGCGTATTAATAGCATTTTCTCATGTGGCTGCCACAGCCATCATCATGGAAAAACCTTAAAAACCTGGAAATTGTTTATGGTTATATTAATGGAATGATTTTGTCATTTTATATTTTAATTTTTTTGTCACATATTTCATCATGGTTATATAATATAATCATGTCAAATAATACATGAGAAAATTCATTCTCATTTCTTTAAGAAAATCATATAAAAAAATAAACTAATTTAATTGCACACTTGAGTTGGTAAAAAATAGGAACAACGACTAAATAACAATAAAAAAAAAATAATATGGGGTCAAATTTTTAAAATAATAATAAAAATAAGAATTTTACTTCTCTCATAAAGTAAAAGAAAATTATCTTGAAACAAAAAAGGTGGAGCTCACCAATTTTTTTTAAAAAAAAAAGAAAAAAAAGAAAGACACGTCTTTTTATGTGATTATGACGTAAGAGATGAATCTCATTCATCACGAGAATATAATTTTTCTAAAAAAAAAACTAAAAAGTTTATCAATGCCTATGTGATTTGCTTCAGAATCACTTATGTCATTGTAATTTTTTTTATCACATATGTCCCTGTGATTTGTAAAAGAGTATATTTTTTTATCATATATACTCTTGTGATTTTTTATTTTTTACAAAACACAAGAGCATATGTAATAAAAAAAAATCATAGGAATATAAATGATTCTGAACCGAAGGCTTGTGAGCTTTTTAAACAAAAAAAAAAAAAAAAAAAAAACCGATTCTAATTCTATCATTCAATAACCTTTTTTATGTTTTCTTTACCCATTTCCATCTAACCAAACACACCCTTGTGTTGTGTCAGCATTCCTTTGTGAAATAACGATAACGATTAGGGTTTCCAATTTTCACAGCAACAATGGCTCCCTTGTTCCGTTTTCGTTCAAGCACACGCTCATTGGCCACATTGGCAAGGGCTTCGCACCACAACAACCACCGTGAGAACCACAAGTTCCTATCACCGACCTCGTTCGTGGGGAGTTGGGAGGCGCCGAGCGACCCTAAGGAAGCGGAGAAGAAGCTGGCGCGTCTGCGTAGGGAGTACGCGAAGCAGATGACGGAGGTTCGAAAGGAGTACATGGCAGAGATGGAGTTGATGAAATTGGAGAAACAGCGCAAAGACGACGCTCGCAGGGAAGCCCTCAGAGTCGCCAACGAAGAGCGCAAGAAACTCAAGGCTCAAGCTGCACAACTCAGAGCACAAGAACGCAACATCGTCGAACAACAATTTCGAGAAACCCTTGTATGTTTATGTTTCTCTCTCTCTCTCTCTCTAACATCCCCAATTGTTGTTTGAAGAAGGATTTGGATTTGGCTTAATTACACTAATTTTTAAAAATGTAATTTTTTTTATTAAATTGTGTAATCCGAACTAATATTTAATATGCGTTTGAAAGAAACTTTTTGATTAAGTTTTTTTTTTTTCGGTTAAATTTCTTACATTCAGTCTAAATTTTCAGCTTGTTGTCATTGTTTGATTTTTTCCTTTTTTTTTTGGTGGTTCAGTTAAAAGAAAGAGCTGAGAAACTAGAGAACTGGAAGATGAAAGTCAAAAAGCATGATGAGAAGAAGGTAGAGAAGAAAGAGTTATTGCGTCGACAAAGTTCCATGTGGGTTGATGAAACTGATCTCGAGAAGAAAATACTGGAATCCATTGTTGCTACAACACAACTTTGAGCCTCTTGCAGTTCCACATTTGTATGGGGTTGGGGTCTGTTTTATCTGGTTAGTGGAATCTAGTCTTTTGTTCAAAGCAACCTCATAAAAATAGTTCTTTCATTCAGAGTATCACATTTATGCTTTAGCCCTGCTGGTCTATACAAGTTGCATGATAATAATGTATGAAAATAAGTCTTATGCTGGTTAGTATTGGGAATTTTGAAAGAAGTACTAACTTAACTAGATTGCATGCTCAAGTGCAAACAATGCTGCTTTCTTTTAATAAGTGACTTTGGTAGAAAGATTTCAAGCGAGTGGTGATTGGATTTGATCCAGATACAACCTTCTGATTAGAAACATATCGAACCAGTTCTTTGTTTAGCTTGTGTAATTTCAGACATTCCTTTATTCACATAGTTTGGTTGGTTAATGATTTTTAAACGTAACATGTATTATCAGTGAACTTGCAAAGCCCGGGTAATCAAAAATGTTTAGTATGCTTATGAATTTAAAATTTAAATCCTCGTAAATTAACTAAAAAGAGAAAGGTACAAGTGCTTAGTTTTGGACCTTGCCCTCCTTGTAATCAAGAAAAATAAAAGAGAAACATTCTGTGACTCTGAAATGCAGATTATTGAGTATGTTGTTGTGTGTCAGTTGACTTTCTCCATATTACTCCTCCCTAATCCCTAAACATGTAGTTTGGTATACCTGAATGCAACAAAAGAAAATAGAAAGAAAAGAAAAGGAAGAAAGCTGAGACTATGCTCTATAAAAAATCAAGTTTGTCTTCCCATGTCTTCATTGCCTAACAAAACAGGTGTGGGAGATTCTGGGGATTTGAGCTGAACCATTCATAGAATAACTTAGACCTTTAAATTTTCAGAGAGCCCAGGCACAATGCGACTCTTCTTTTTGTGAGGTGATTTTAAGCGGGTGATGACCGAGCCTTTAAAATGTACTATTTCTACATTCTAGCTAAAGTCTTTTATGTACTATATACTGTCACTGTTTTTGAAGTTTTTGAAATAATAAATTTTTTATAGTATATAACTTTTTTCTTTCTCTCATGTTTTGTAAAATGTTCAAATTACAGGTAAAAAAGAGAGTATGAACTACTTTACGATCTGCTCTTTATATTAACTATATTCGGTTCATCAAAGCAAGAGAAGTCAGCTTAATAACAATTTTTAGAGCCGAATCAGGAGAAATGGTATCACTATTCCTGACTGCTCTAAGCAACCTGTAAAATCGAATTTCTAAAAATTGATAAAAAAATATATATTTTGAAGAACTGGTTATCAACCGGTCAACCCGGTTCATACGGTTGAAAAGGTCTTTCTCTTCTTTTTTTATAATTTATTTGAATAAAATTTTTAAAACAATTTTGCCATGCTGATTATTTTTTCCTAATATACAACCAAAATTTAACATTTTTCCTTTTAATTTATTCAATTTAGACAAATAACAATTTGTAATGTAATAAGAATTTGACATCTATTTATAATTAAAAGCTTTAGCTCTTTCCCTTTTACTTGTTCCACGAGTAGGGCTGGCATAAGATGAAATTTTTTACCTTTCCTTTTACTTATTCAATATAAGACTAATGTAAGTTAAAAAATCATATTAGTATTAGAGTAATAGCTTTAGTTTAATACTTATTTACTAATATATTACTTTATTTATGTTAGATATACATTTTAATATTCTCTTTAGTTTATTTTTTACACATTATATATATATATATATATATATATATATATATATATATATATATATATATATGCTTTTTCACCCTTTTGCCCTTCATTAATTAATTAATAATTATTTTGTCCCTTACTCAGAACTATCTACCAATCTGCCCTTCTTTAATCGATTAAACCAAATATTTAATCGATTAAATGGCCAAAATAGGCAAAAATGGTTTACTCGAAGATTTAATCGATTAAATCTCCCTCTTTAATCGATTAAATCTCACATACATAAGTTTGTCCTTCTGATAAAGAGGAAAATTTAATCGATTACGTTGAAGATTTAATTGATTAAATCTTCAAGTCAACAATTTTTTGTCAGTTTTGACCATTTAATCGATTAAAGAGGAACATATTGGTAGATAGTTTTCAATAAGGGGGCGTTTGGTTGAGGATAAATTTTTAAAAATAATAGGAAAATGTGATTACTAGGGAAATGGTTGAAAAGTGAGTTTGGTAGGAAAATGTAAAAAAAGTTGTTTGGTTGGAAAAAAATTTACTGGATAAATTAGGTAACTTTTATAAAATCTATGTTTTGCTTTTTGTAAAATATAGATGGGGAAAATAATACAACATTACGAAAATAACCTTGTACGTTTAGTATGACGAGTGCAGTCTAAAATGAATTTAAGAGCATTCTGTACAATATGAATGTACGTTTGAACTTCTTATAATGTTAAGAGACTGTGCCTAACTTATTTCCAATTGTCACAGAAGTTTATATATGTGTAAGCTTTTATCTTAAATACGTTCATTAAATCACCCATTGTTTGCTAATATTAATTATAACCAAAAAGAACTTTAATTAAATTCGGAAACAGACTTAAAAAGGATTCACGAGTCACTACAAGAAGAGGAAAAGCTTGTCTCCTACACGATGCAATAGAATGCAGGTGAAAATGTAGTGAGATGAAATAATTTATTTTATTCTTGGAATAAAAATGCTTGTTCACAAAATCACTATTGAGCAGTGGACTTTGTTTCCATATATATATATATATATATATATATATATATATATATATATAAGTGCTGAATATTAATTATTGTCACAGATATACAATGGATGAAAAAGTTCTGCTCTCTGTTGTGTGTAACATTATTAATCATCGAGGAGGGTATAATGGGTGTCCTCAAAGTGTGTCAACAGTGCTTTACTCGCGTTTTCAAAAAAAACCACCCTCAAATACGCTTTCTACACAGTGTCGATACCTTTCTTTCTCAGGCAAAGTTGAAAAAGCCATGCAAATTACATGGATGGAGATTTGATCATAATTTGTTGAAACAAACGTTGGCTTTCTAAAAACCTTACTTCATTTGCATAGGAAAATGTTGAAAAAAATGAAACCAAACACCACCTAAAGGGCAAAATGATTATTAATTAATTAATGAGGGGTAAAAGAGTCAAAAAGCCTATATATATATATATATATATATATATATATATATATATATATAGGTTTATGTAACAGAACTCCGATTTAATCCCAATTCAACCCTACTTAAAGCTCAAAATTTCAAATCTCTCTGATACAAATTCAATAATCATGCGGTCTTGATAATCTAAATGTAACGAGGGTGATAAACTCAGAATGTTGTCAACAAACAGATTATTGCTTAACTCCAATTTCTCGTTGCTTATCAAACGTGTGCCCCATGGATTTTTCTAATGTGCTTCACGAGCACAAAACTATTCCAGATCCTTTTCTAAAAAAGAAAAGTTTTTTTTTTTCATTTATGCCCTTATCTTTTTTCAAAATTCCATCTCAATCCATTTTTTTTTTCTATTTTTAGAAATAGAGTAGAAGCTCCCGGAGCATGATAAGCAGGCTCGTACCCCAGAGCTAGTTTCATGCCAAAATCTGACATGCACAAAAATGTTCCAGAGACCGATACCAAGGAGAGACTAGCTATTTGAGAAAATAGATTCTCTCGTGTGAAAAAATAATCAAATGATTATGTTATTTGATTACAATCACTTATTTAAAAATTATACATTTTTCTCTCTCTTATCTCATCATCAATGAATGATTGTGATCAAATAACTTAATTACATAACTATTTTTTCACATGAGAAGATCCACTCCCGTTATCTCACAGCAACCATTTTACCCTTTTCGACTGTTTTGAAACAAAGCTATTGATGTCGTAAATCAAATGAGTATGCTCTCTTTAATGGACGCATGATTTATTTCTTTTGTAATGTATGTTATTGGATATGGATGAACAACATGATAATTCACCTGGGGAAAGAGACAATTCAACACCTAAAATGTTCCAATAATCAATGCTTTTTATTCCTTTCTACAGATTAAAACGACATAACCATTTGATTGAAGGTTTTGAAATTTCTACCTTCTCTTTCACCCAAAAAGAAAAACGTAAATAATAAACCATGAAATAAAATAAAATAAAAATCTGAAAATGTATGGCCAGAGAAAAATTAAGTAACCTTCTTTTCCCAACACGATTCTGTTTTCTAGTTAATGGTGTTAAACAATCTATAGCTGCTATGGTTCAAAGGTATACAAATATTAACTACGGCACTTCTCCAAAGTATTCAGAAGACAAACAAATAACACAGAAGAACCAGCACAGAAAAATGCCCGATGAATTACAATTTTAACTAGTCCTCAAATTCATTCTGGTGATCCAATAGATAGTTGGCTGCCAAATCCTCGTTTTTATTGCATGCAAAGAACACCTCCAACACAAGATCTCGATCAAATCCCATGTCTTCAAGCTGTCAAAATATCCTGGTCAGTTATCTATGTTTTTTGGAAGGGAGGTGGGGTATATCATGGTTATGCACAACATATAGTGCTTCTATTTGTTCCATTCACGACAAAATTTCCATGTAGGTTTTCATCATAATAATTAAAAGAGGAGTAACAGGAACAAAGATAAAATACAAGCAGGACAAATCAAAAGTACAAACACCAGTAACCAGCCTTCTGGATCAGAAAGGATGCATGAAAAAATCTATACCAAAACATCCTCTATCATGAACAGAAATGAAGTCAAACAGGTTAAGCCAGATGCAACAAACTGAAGTGACATCTAATTTGGCAAAATATATAGATCCAAAACCTGGAAGTGCATAAGAAAACACTTCATTGTTTTTCGTTGACCTTTCATCCCCAAAATTTCAAAATATCCTGATTTCATTTGCATATTGTTACATTAATAATAAAAGACATTGGAATAAAATATTTATTGAATAATTAAAATGAAATACAATATAACTGTTCAACATAAATGCACTCCACATTCCCTCTCTACTATCCATATCTTCCTTTTGCTTCTTTCACCATATTTTCTCTCCTAATCACATTTTTATATTGTAAACTATTTATTATTTTGCATACTTGTTGCTGTGTAAGATATGCTTGGGATGAATGTATTATTATCTTTCCTAAAGGCCCCATATTTTATTTACTGTGACTAAAAAAGGAGGAGAAAATTGTCATGACAAAATAATTACTAATTTTAATGAACTTTTATTTTATTTTTTTCTTATATAGTGTAGTTGGAAGTCTGTTTATATTTAGTTTTAGATTTAAAATGAGAGAAAATTGTCATACTAAAAGTAAAGTCGGATTTTTGCTTTACACTAACATTGTGGATGCCTCTTCTAGAATTCTAGATAATAAAAAAATCCGTATAAAAATGAATGCATCGAGATAATTTGGTTTCTCATTTTCTTATCCTCTAAATAAACAAGTAAACAGAAGGTAACAGACATTTAGAACCCAAGTGAAGCATAAGCAGGGCATAAAGCATGAAGGAGGCACGTATGCAATCAGCACTTCCTGGTCCTAAGGCATAAAGCACAAATGCTTTCTGATGCATCAAATGGATCTGTTCTCTATATCTTGACTATTTTTATGAGAATGACATGCAAGTTTCAAATATTGAAGAACTTTCATAAACTCCTATGGGCTACGGTTATTTTATTGACAATTCAACAACTAGGTGACAATACCAAGAATGTCATCATCAAGCCAATACAGCAAAATAACAATAAGTCACATTTAGAGCAACTGAATGAAAAGTATAGTCAGTAGCTCACCCGTTGAATGGCATCATGCTCCTCAGGGGTGATGGTGATGGCTTGAGGCATCTCAGAAGCCAACTGACTCTGTAGGTTCCTAGTCATACAATTACAACAAAACAGCATGAGCATCCAAAAGTCTTATATAAAGTCAATACCTATAACCTTATCCCCTCCCTCTCTCATCATGGGTCTTAACATCATAATTTTCCAAAACCCTCAAAGTATCAAACCAACAATATTTGCATTATCTCTCCCCTATAGGATTAAGATCCTTTGAGTGTGAGTCAAAATCAATCTCACACAAATGAACACTAATTTAATGATGAATTCCCATATATCCAGATATTATGTCTCCACTGCATTAATAGCTGGTTTATTTTTATCCTTTCCAACTATAATTAAGGTCATAGAACACATATGTGGCCCTATTTATCTGTTTGTCGGTTTGTGCGTGTGAATTCTTTATGAACTCATTTTATTCAAGAGTTTTCTACTAAACATTCATCATACAAATACAATTCTGAATTACTTTCTCTGTCAATAGAAAGGTATGCAGTAAATTCAGAGCTCATTGAAAAGTCCATACAATCTAAAATGAAAATGTAACCAACTTAAAATAGTCATCTTACTCTTCTCCTTCAGGTTCATTTATAAGGCGTAAGAAGTCAGCTTGATGCTCTTGGATGAGCTGCATTAGGTGGGGATTTTGTTTTCCCAGTTCCTGAAGCATGGGCTGCCATGGGAAAAAAAGTTATTTATTATGTTTTTTAATTGGGTGAGGTCCAAATTGCCAATTGTAGTAACTGGATATACTAGTACCACTACCAGTAATACCTGTAAAATTTGGGGGTTTGCTTGCACCATCGCTCTCAAGGCTTGGAACTGAAATTTTAAAGAAGAGGACTTTTAGATGGATACATAAATAAAGAATAAATTACATTCCATTATCTTGAAGATTGTCAAAATGATAGCAAATTCCAAACTTAATAAAAAATTATATTCCACCCCATAGTTTTATTTTTACCTAACTTTCGACTAAACACCATTAAGTATTTTCAAAAAGGAAAAATCATTTATTATTTATATTTAAATACTTACTCATTTGCCATATTTCTAGTTTGCTCAGTCATAATATTTTGATCAATATTATATATTTTGTATGTTTTTAAACAAGTTTATATAATTTAAAAATGCTGGGGGAAAAATAATAAGTAAATGAAGAAAATTTTAAAAAACACAAAAAATAAAAAAAAGTAATATTTTCAAATTTTGAAGTTATTAAGATAAGGGACTAAATAAATAACACAAAAAGAGATAAAAATAATAATTTGTTTTATAATAATTATAGTATATCTTATTTATATGAGTAAAATAAATACACAAATGAATTATATCTTCTTCATAATTTTTGTTTTTACCTTAAAAAGCTAACTTAATGTTATAAACAAAAATTCATACGAATATATATATATCTTTAAAATAGTTTTATCATAATATATAATAATTTAACAATTAAGAAATAAGAGATTTTTGTTTTCAAAACGGAGTTTAGTCAATAATTAGTCAAAGATAAAAAAAATGGGGAGGAGTGTAAATCTAGATCAAGTTCGGAGTTTTTTTTTTTTTTAAACAAACCACAAGGTAGTGGAGTATAATTTACTCGTACATAAAACTAAAAGCAAACCTAGCTCCCGTATAGAAAACAAAATTAAACTACCTGCTGACTGTTCCGCAAGAAATCCAAGTCCCCCGCATCATTTGCACCATCGGGAATGCCCTGATTCAAAAATATTGTCATTATCTTTTTTCCCACCAATGTTGTTAAAAATTTTTTTGGATAAACCACAAGTATCCTCCACGAAAGCAATTTTGTTCGGAGCGAGTCCAGAATTAAGGCCCTCCATGGGAGGCAATGTTGTTAAAATTTTACTGCGTGGGAAGGTATATACCTCGGGGAACAGGTTGAGCGGGTTGGTGTTAGGCCCACTAGTAGGTAGAGCTGGTTGCAGAGCCTGGACTAAAGGGTTTGCTTCCTGCCCAATGGTGGGGGATCTAGCAACTGCCGGGACATCAGCTTGTTCAGGAATGCCCTAACAGATAAATTTTACATCAATTTTAGATAAAAAAGAAAAAAAAAATTAGCTCAATGTAAACAAAACTGTATTATCCATATACAATTACATTCTACAATTCCTAATTTTAAGAAGTTAATACAAAACTATAACCACTGAAGTTAACTCCAAATTTCAATAAAATAAAAAATATTATTATATATAAAATGAAGTGGGTAGCAGTGGAGTCTCTAAAGGAAGCATCGAGTAGATAACAAGCTACCAATTAACAGCCAAAACATCCATACTTTGATATGAGAAAGAAGCCATGGTCTATGCAGACACTTACAGAATAGAGATATTCAACAGCTCTTTCAGGATTGTTAAATGCAGCACGAAGAGCACGGATAACAGTATCCCGATCCCAACTTCCTCCTCCCATTTCTAGAATCTGTTGAATAGTTGATTCTAAATTATTTCCAGCAATGACATCTGACCCTGCTTGGCCATAGATGCTGGGCACTGCACTGCAATAAAAACTGTATGTAAGTTCACACAATGACAACAGATAGCACCAATAAAGAATACATCAAGTTTTATACTATTCAGTGTAAAAGAAACAAATGACCAAGAATAAGATATTATGCAGTGATAACAATAATACATTATTTACAAAGTAGGAGAGCTGCAGCAGCTGTGGCTTTAACGTTGCTACAACTTATCAACTATATTTAAGTACAGAAAAAAAAGTAAAAATTGTTAAATCCCATGAGATGAGAAAATGCCAGATACTAACGTAGTGGGAGGAGTAATAACAGGACTTTGCTCAGAATTGGATTCTCCCCTGAAAACAAAGTGAAAAAAAATAAAAATAAAATCACGTGATAACTCAAAAAGAACATTCTATCATGCTGAAACTTAGAGGCAGGGAAAATAAATATGAACTCACTGTCCTACAGTCGAAGCAGGAGGTTGAGATGCTGAAGATGTTGATGAAGTTGGAGGCAAAGAACTTGCAGGTTGGGCTGCCTAAACATGTAAGTAGCAAATAAAAGGAAACAAGAAAATCAGAGAAAAGAGACTTTACCGTGATCAACAAAAACAAAATGTTAAAAATCATGCAAAATTGACTATTATGAGGACATTATAATTTTTTTCAAAAATATGGAGTTTTTACATGTCACTGACATTTTTGACAAAAGAAACAATCCCCAACCAATATCTGGAGAATCAAACATATTATTACATGCTCTTCTATATAGATGCTCAACACAAAGATTATAAAAATAATCACTATTAAATGAAGACTGGATAATAAGACTAGACAAAAATGCCAACACAAGCATGTATACACATATGGACATTGAGAGGATTAGTTGAAAGAATAATACTTCAAATCATTAACATTCATCCAACTGCAGAGACAGTAAAGGCATCAAGCTCTAAGTTTTATAAAAAACTTCATCAAGGAAGGGTTAAGTTCTAACAAGTCAACTTAAACATATGAAAGTGCAGGCAATAAAAAAGGACAAACCCCGGTGCCCAAGACTCCCCGACAAAGTGCAAGCAATAAAATAAATATATAAATAAGAAGAAAAATCTTAAATATAAACTTGTACTTACCAGGTTTGAGGGTGCAGGTGAAGCAGTTGAGGCTCCACTTGATGATACCTTATTCTGAAATGGAAAGACCACAACAAATGTTTAGCAGTAAGCCAATGAAAACAACACTAAAAATTAGCAATTTTAAAACATGCCCTCTATTTCTTTTGTTCTCCCTCTTTTGAATGGAAGGAAACTAGGAAAGGCATATCAGCACTTTTTATTTTCAATGCATCCATCACCACCTCTTCAAATGGTACAATTTCAACAAAACAATAGTGATTGAGGACTATCACACGACAAGTTTCACACACTCTTGCCACCAAAAAAAAAAATGCAGGAAGGTTGAAAATGGAGTGTAGCTCATTTGCAGGTCGATCTATAACTTTTGGGAACTTGGGAAGCAAATTGAAATGAGTTTCCACCTTCTACCACGCAATAAGCGCAAAATCAAAAACTTTTACAAGATAAGGCATTTCTTAAAAACGTAGGACGCACATAATGTGGCATAAAACAAACATATAAATTATCAAAAAGTGGATAAAATAAAGGATGCAAGCTAAGAACTCCGTTGGCGTGCGAAACCTTTGCGGCAGACATTTCTGAAGTATCAATGCTTTATATTCCCCAATAAATTCAAAAAGGTAAGAGGAGAGAAACAATCTATCGCTAGGTACCCAAATAAAATCATCACCTTGGATAACATGATCACCATCAAACTATTCTCAGCAACTTCATTTTCTTCCAGGGTTGTGGCATCTTTAAGCACTTTTCCCTTATGAATAAGCATTTGCTGTGCAGCAGGGTAAACATCCACACCTTGAACTACCTCTATGTTTTTCTTCACATCAGCAACCTAATAATTTATTAATTAATTAATTAATTTTTCAAAAAATAATAATAATAATTCAAATATTCAGTTACATTTTACACAAAATGCAAACCTTCAATTCAACAAACTCCTCCAAAGAGAAAATTACAACAAAACAAAAACCTAAAAAAAAATGTTCAATCCCAATAAGAGTGATAGAGCATTACCGTGTCTTGTGGTTTCACTTCGATCTCAAAGTGAGTCCCCTTGAGAGTCTTGACGTTAATCTTCATATTTCCGTTTCGATTCTCCAATCACCGGTAGCCACCGTACGCGGCGGAAGGAAAAGAAGTGTTTTGCTTCTTGTGGAGGAAAAGCACAGTAACAAAGTCAGCACAAGTTTGGAATTTGAGGCACTACTCTCCCCCTTCCGCTTATATAGGCACAGATAGAACACAGGGACTTATCCAGTGCGGACACGACCACAGTTTGAGGGGCTCTATCAACCCCATGTAATGCCACGTGGCCTAAACCATTGGTACTCTGCGCGCTTTCGAACGGGAGTTGGATGGGGTTAAACTTCGGTTATTTTAAAAGATACATAATTTATTCTCCGTGACGATTTTATAATTATTTATTTTAATATTTTTTATTATTATTAATTCATTTTTATATGATTTTAATATTTCTACGTAATTATTTCATATTAAATAAGATATAGGAAAATCCACTCGTATAGAAATTCTGTTGAATGCGTTAGGTTTTGAAATATATTATTAGATAGATATTATTCTTTTTCTTCTACTCAGGTTTATTATTGTTAAATTTGTATTAATTAATAGTTGATTAAATGTTTTTTTAAATAAAAATATTTGAAAAATTACTATAGAAAATTTAAAATTCAAATATAAAACCGTATTTTGATATATTGTAAATGTAAATTTTTCACTGTTATTTAATGAATTTAATTATACTAATAATTATATAAGAAGTACATAATAATTACCTACAATACTAAACACATTTATCTATCTGTATGTCAATTTTTATACCAAATTTTTTTCACAAAATATTTTTCTTCTGTGAAATTATCATTTTTATTTATTTATGATAGTGCCCATTACTTTTTATCCCGATAATTTTGTCTATTTAATTATCATACTAACTTCTTGGGTGGGAGGTGGTATTAGGTAAATCTTCCATCAAAATGTGAATTTTTTAAACTCTTGAATCACAATATGTATTGTGTATTATTTGGCTCATTTTTTGTGTTTTGTATCGTGAATCTTATCAAATTATAAGATACAGAAATATAATAAAAAGTAATTTAAAAATACATATTAAAATATGTATTTAATTATACCCTTTATTAATATAAATTTTTTAATTGATTTTTGAGTTTAAATCACAAATTATTTCTTTATTTTTTTCTTATTAATAATATTTCAACATCAACATCAATATCAACAACACATTTATCCTAAAATAATTGGGGTCGGTAGTAGATGAATCCAAATAAAAGATACGAAAGGAGTATAAGGGTTTATCTCATAAATATAACTACTTTTTGTGACTGGTTCGCTATACCTGACGCGAACCATCCTCCTTTATCCTGACTTCGGACAGACCATGCAAGCAAGCACACACAGGCGGAGTTATATATATATATATATTAATTTAAATTATAAATCAAATCTTTATTTTTTATATTATAAATTATAAATTTTGATTTAATTTTCATATCGTATAATACACGTATCGTGTCCTGTATCATACGATATTGATAACTATATTTTTAAATGTAAATTTTTTTATAATAATTCATTATAAATAAATTATAAAGAAGAGAATAATTATATTTATATATTTTTTTTACAAACTACACTATGTATTCTGAGAAATACACATCTAAGCGTGTATTCTTCGAAATACATAGTTGAGTTGGTAAAAGTTTCTAAACATAACATTTCTCTCTAAACAAATATAAAATGTTGAAATAACAATTTTTTTGTATCAATTTGGTGGTTTTCCAACTAGTTTGTGTATAACTCGGGTGATTAATCTCCCAAATTCACTTCATTCCTAGACTAGATAATTGAGAAGGGTATTTAATATTTATTTCAGCTTGAGCACGGGAAAAATTTTATTATTTTTTCTTCTGAATAAAAAAATTTCAAATTCCTTTCTCGTTTCGGAAGGAATGTACTTATTTTGTAAAAAGCTATTAAACAAGCTATAAGAGAAGTACAAAACAACCAGCAAAGAATATACCTGTCCTCTCCTTCAATTTATACAAATATATGCAAAATTAAAGATAAAAAATGCGACACGAGTATAAGAAGATACTACGAAAAGGTTTACTTATTTTATGATGGATAATTGATTCAATCATTAATCTCATCTGTCGAAATATGAGCGTACGATGTGTGTTGTTGGAGTATTCAAGGATGATTCAAATTGGTTGATAATGGCCTAGACGATGTGTATATAAATGGATAGACTCATGAATTCAATGCCTTAGGATCTGTTTGGTGTGACGTATAAGGCATGATAGTATAAGCTTATACTATACGTTATGACATTTTCAGTTGTTTAGTGTAACTATCGTATAGTATAAGCTTATACAGCACAATCCCTTAATACATCAAAACAATATATAACTTAATCCGACCTACGGGTGAGGGATAAGGCCTGATAAGAGATTGATGTATTAAAATCGTTGACCAATGTAATTCTCAAAAATTAATATATTATTTTAATATTAATCTATTAAAATAAAAATTAATTTTTCAATATATTAATTTTTAAAATATTGAATATTTTTATTTTTATAAAAATTAATTTATATTTTGGAAACACTGATCAATAAATTTTTATTAAAATTAATATCATATGATATTTTTTGAAGAATTATATGAATTCATTATTAAAAGATATTTTTATTAAAAATATTTATTTTTATCATATATAGTATTATACAGTACATTACCAAACACTAGATGACATTATTTTATATAATATATTATTTCATACAATACCGTGTCAAACGTTGGATAGTATTAAAATTCAATCATGTCTTCTACAATCAGGCCTTATACTATCAGGCTTTATCCTATACTATGCACCAAACATGCCCTTAAGGTTTTGAGTTGTAACATAGTATTGGATTGACTTGATGTGGTTGGTCTAGTTTAGCCCATTGGTGGTGATTCCTGCCACGAGCTCCCCTTGAACCTGCCTGCCGGACAAGTTTTCAGAATTAAATTTAAATAATATATCTGAGTTATTTTTATTTTGTATTTTAATTTTTAAAATAAAAAAAAAACAAAATATACTTATTTCATTAATTATTTTACAAAACAATTTTAAGAAAAGAAAAATCAGAAATAATTGTATTTTTGTAAAGAGTAAAGTGTTTTTTTTCTTTAATAAATATCACGGATCCAATTTAAATACTTAAAAAAACAGTCAACTTGTGATTCCAAATTCAAAAAAAGACTTAAGTCCCTCGAGGATCCATCTGAAATTCAAAATAAACTTATGTTAGCCCTTTTGAAGAATTAACGTAATCTTTTTTGAATTTAAGAGAAATACAATTTTAATTAACTGAGTCTATTCTAAATTTTAGTGGGGCCACAAATTAATTTATTTTTTTTAAGCAATTAAAATAAGCCCGTTATTTTTATTGAGTACCCAAAAATACTTTGCGATATTTTTTATCTCTTTCTTTCCCTTTGCTACTGCATCAGCTTAGACTTTGCTACTGATGCTGTTTCTTCTGTCCTCTCTGGGAAATATCTTGTTCCTTGTGTTCTGTACTGTGTAGCTCTGGATCATAAACAGGTTAATCTCCTTCGTCTTGCATTGCATACACCTTATCGTTCATCAGTTTTATTATTTCTAGATTTTCTGCTTGGTCCATTCTTGTAATTTGTTAGTTAATTTTTATGTCCTGAATTTGACCCTTATGTACCTCTACACTTGCTTGAATCAAATGAAATTTGTAAATGTTTTACAAGATCAATCTTGACGACTTTGTGAATTTGGTATTTTGTTCTGTGAATTACAATAAGTAAGAGGCAATGAATTCTATTGGTTGTGTAGTTGAATATGGTCTTTAGATGACAGAACCATACAGTTGCCAGGAAAATAACAAATAGCAGTAATGGATCAAGCAGCTATGGCTGATATAAGCTAAGAAAATCATGAACTGAATCTGAAGTCACCTTTTCATGCATATTTCCCCCCTTCACCTTCCTGGGATATGGCAACTGTTGCCTGTTGCTATGTACTCTTTTGTAGATTAGTCATTAGTGCATATTTTGCACATGCTTTATTCACCATCTCTTAGGTAAATGCCTTTGGTGAGTGATGCCGAAAACTCGTAGAAAAATGGCTAAACAGAAAATTATGATATGATAAAAGAATAATCATCCAATTTTCAATTTTTAATGATCAAAATAATAAAATTCAACTCCCAAATAAGGGTCATAAGCACTCTTTTATAGATTAATTATAAAATGATCCAAAATTCAAAATTCAAAATCTAAAGTCCTAAAAATAAGAAAAATATCTAAAATAAATATAACGGTAATTAACATTAAAATAAATAAATAATCATAATTAAATCATTTAAAACACGTCCTAAATATTATATCTTAAGCTAGGTTGTCAGTAGCGGCCCGTAGCGCCGCTAAACCGCTACTGTAGCGGGTAGCCGCGGTTAGCCGCTACAAACCGCGACGCTACGTGACATTGGCCGTAGCGGAAGGTAGCAGCGTAGCGTAGCGGCAATACCGTTACCCGCGACACCGCTACACCACTCCCATGTTGGAATTTGATGGAGAATCCGGAGATGATGATGATTTTCTTCATTAGTTCACTTCTTGTACTTGACTATTTGACAATTTTATTGTTCATTTGTGTTTAGTTTTGGATTCTTCTTTTATGTTCCTTGTATTTGACATTGATTGTGGAATTATGTGTTTGATTTTGTGTGACTTCTTATGTTTGAGCATTAATACTAAAAGCGGTGTTGCCTCGTTTCTTGATTGTTAGTATAATATATGTGGAATTAATACTTCACCATAGCGGCAATACCGCTACCCGCTATAACGCTATACCATTTTCGGGGTCGGCCGCTACCGGCCGCTAACTGCTATTGACAACTATGATCTTAAGTCATAATAAAAGTTTTCTTGCCAAACAAATCATAATTCATGTGTAATTGGCCAACTGTAAGTGCATCAATGAGTTCTTAACAAGTGGAGTTTCTATTAAAGGGCTTTTGGTGGGTTCTGAATATGTGGGAGTTTCAATTAAAGGGCCTTTGCTTGGGGGCAAGGATGTCTTCTTGAATGTGTTGACCCTTTTGCAAGTTTTTGAGGTTGTTTTGGCTTAGTGCATTAATATGGCAAGAATTGCTTGACAGGTTTAAATGTTGAGGCAGATGTCAATTTAGCTAATTTGGTTGGTTGTGAGATCTTAGAGTCGCCTGTCAACTACTTAGGTGCCTTTGGGTGGAAATCCTCAGTCCATTTTTTTTTTGGGACCTTGTTTTTCTGAACATTTCTTGAAAACTTATAAATTGAAGGGGAAATACCTTTTTGTAGGAAGGTGTGCCACACTTATCCAGGCTTGTTTGTAGAGTATTCGTGTACTTTGTTTGTCCTTGCTTAAGTTCCCAGAGTGGTGATGGAGAAAATTGAGAAGATTATAGGAGATCTCTTATGGATATGGTCAGGTTTTAGATATTCTAAAAGGGATGATTTACTCCAGGTTTGCATTTTGTTAAAACAGGAAGGAGATTTTGGGCTGGGTAGTTTTGTGGATAAATAATACTTGAATGAGTGAAATCTGAATATTGTTCCTGGATGAGTAAAAAACTGTACACTACATTACAATATACATGGAAAACTAAATAATTATTTTCCTAAAATAAATCTCAATCTGCAGTAATAATAATAGGCATAGGATATCGTCGGATCAAAATCAAATCAATGGCTCTCCCTTGATGTTATTTTGTAACTGTTGATTTGATTTTGATCCAACGATAACAAGATTGGTGCTAAGAAGAAAATGTGATAAGTGTAACCTTCCCTGTAATAATATATCCTAATAGCAAAATAATTTACAATAATTACAAATGTAACCAATGTGGGACTGTTATAACACTCCCCCTAAAACTGGTTAATGAATATCTTTCATTAGCAGTTTGCCCTTAAGATCTTGAAGCCCATCTGTAAGTAAGAATGATACACAAGTAGTTCATTGGGAATACAACAAACCAAAGAACCTAGGAGCCAAATTCTTGTCACAGAATACTTAAGATGACTATTCATCCCATGTCTACTGCTAAACAGTTTGGGCAATATTAAGTATGATTTTAGTATTTGATAAATGCACTGCAGGTTGAGAATATGATTAAATGATTAGAATATGTTTAACAGTATGCAGCCAGCTTGTGGTTTTACGTAGTTCCATACAATTTTGAAGTATCTCTAATTTCATGTTATCCATTGTTTGAACTTCAAATTTTTCTTGTTCTGTCTTGAAGTATTTTCTTTTTTTAGCCAAATTCCCTATTCTTCAAGACCTTGGTTCAAGTGTGTTGACTTTCAAGGAGAAGTCACATGGGAAAATTTCCTACTGTTATTTTTTTCCAATATGAGAAATAGCAATAAAATTTTACCTTTATTCTTTGAGGTTCACTTCTCTTCCACTCAGATCTGCAACTGAGACAACCATTAAAAGTATAAAGCCTGCTTTTAATGCCAGTTGCATTTTGATATTAAAGCTTGCCTATGTGAGCACAATCTAGGGAGAGGATTGCTCACACATTGCTATATATAGTCCTTAGGGTTTCATTTTACCAGAGAAATAATTTTACTTTCTCTCCCAGTGCAGAATACTAAACCTAAGAAATCTTTGAGGCTGACCATGCATTAGAAAAAAAAAAATTGCAGAATGCCTTTAATTGCTTATTTTGTTTCCTCAGGTCATATTTGTATGGTATAAAGGTGAATGGAATTTTTGCATTCTTTTTACATAATTGTCATTGTGTTTTCATTGTTCAAAGATTAGCATGAGGCTTTGTGGAGTATTTGTATGAGTCTATCTGGAGCAGTGAAGTTAAAGTTTAAGGCTGTGTCTGATTTCCAGAGCGGTGAAGTTGAAGTTTAAGGCTCCCTATTATTTGTTTGGTTCCTATTCCTAGATGTTGTTGCTTATGTTTTCTCAAATATGTAAAAAGATAACTAGGAAACTCTTTGGTGATTCCTTTCTCTGTCCAAGGTTAAGTATCTTTTATTAAAGGGATCTCAAGAATAATTGTGATCTGCGTTCAATCACCAGATACAATGCTGATATCTTTAATTGTTTAATGTTGAGATCACTGCTTGACATATCATTTCAGGAACTCAAAAGACTTTGAACTTCAGGAAATCAAAGATCTTGAAGATTTACTCAGGCCTTGGCTGCATGTTTTGTAAATTTAGGTAAAAAAATCTTGCACTTTCTGAGCAAGTTTGATGAGTTGAATTCTTTGTATGCTTCTGGCTTCAAGTTGGTCCAGCAGGAGAGACAAGCCTAGGCAAGCTGAAACAACGTACTTCATAATAAATTATTGATATTGACGTCAGAAAAGGAAACAACTCAAATGATAAATCTTGAACAATAATGTAACTGAAATTCAGTAAGTCCTAGATTCCACTGTAGCCTGACATGTCAACTAGCTGCTGACAGAATAATGAATTTGGCGTCTGAATCTGAAACTTTAGTCTAAAAAAGAATTTCCAAATTAGAGAAGAAAACTGGAATTCTGATGCAATAGATCATCAAAGAACAATATGGTATGCTATTTTAATCCGCTTTAATTAATTCCCACTTATCATCCTCTGTCACATTCTTTATCCAGGTATCCAATTCTTTGCAGCAAGATTTGTTGCTGAAAGTTTCAGCATCAAAGACTAAGAAAAAATACCAAAAGGCTAAGGCAGAGATGAAATCAGAGATGTTTATAACAGTAATTTGCTTTTCAGTAATTGACAAAGTTTGAATTACTGTTCAGTATTTTGCTCTACTTTCAAATGATTCATTTCTCACTGGCTTATTTGATAATATAAATTTCCAGGGTGGCTCAACTTCCTTCCTTTATTGTTCAATTTGGAATAGTTGGTTGGTGAGAAAAACTGAATTTGAGCAGATTTGTAATATAGAAGACAGGACATGGTTATAATGAAGAAGTAATCTGGGTTTGCAGCTTTTACTTGATCCAGCATTACCTGTCTTTTCTGTAACATTCAAGGAAAGCTTGATCCTTCAGTCCTCAGATCCTTCTGCTAAATCCATAAATTGAAGGATTTTTTTAAGTACATATGCCCACATTGAGACAGAAACTTGTGATTGAAAATTTTAGAGAGAATTCAAAGTATCTATGTTTGAAAGAACACCACTGGGTTGTCTAATGTTCTTGAGAGTTCAGAGTTACTCTTGCATAGAGAGCTCTCGTAGTTGTACTATTACCCTTCCAATACTAGTGCTTATAATGTTTAACAAAAAATAAACCAATTTGATTCAGAAAATCAAATCATATTATTGGTTTGGTTGGCTTTTCTATATTCAATGGAACCATGCTAGCCCTTAATCTAAACTACCCTTACAATGCAGTAGTGGAGATGTTACAATTTTGGAGGTTTCTATGGTACTAGCCACATTTTTCGAACATATCTTGTTCCAGGAATGACTGATTGACTTATTGTGTGGTGTCACAGTTCCTTCTCCTGACTACACTTTTGTTAGGTACGACTCTTTTTCAATGCTGATCACATTTTCTTGGTGTGGTCAGTGGAACAACGGTAATATCAATAAAAGCTAACGATATATGTTAGTCTCAGTCGTGTATGTGATTCATTAACCAGATAATACGCTCTTAATGTTTAGAGCACCACAGAATCCTTCTATTATTTTTAACTGTTCTAAGTTACATTATATTTACAAACTTTTTTTATAAACTCTTATAAATTAAGTTATGTATCAAGAAAATACACTAGGTTACACTATGTACTTCTAGGAATACATAATATAATTTGCAAAAATTTATAAAAAAAAAAAATTATAAACGGATACTTCCCCACTTGAAATTATTCATTTTTCATCTTGTCCACTTTATTTGCAACTAACATCAAGATTCAAATGAAAGAAATCTCAATTACGCAATTAGATTGAAACAAGAGAGTAGGAATGTGGTATGCAAGTTTTTGTCATAAGGGGTTCATCTTTCATCTCCCACTGAAAAAATGGATTGACATTTTAATTTCTCCATTTCGAATCAACACCAATAGCTTAATCATTGATGATCACCCGCGTTCATTAAGCCAGTTGAGTAGTGGAATTATTTTTCTTTTTTCCATTATGTACATGGTCCTAATTTCTTAACAATTTCATGCTCTAGCTGTAATACATCCTACAGTTTACAGCTCAGATTTCATTTTTACAATAGGAAAAAAAATAATTTGTGTCACGTATCATAACAAAACTTACCTGAAAACATAATATATGACGGTACTGTACAAGTCTCTTAACTTGTTTTCAAGTTTATATAACTTGCTTTCGTTTTTGGAGCACTAACGTGGGAAATACTCGTCAAAGTGGTACATTACTTTGAAAAAACAAGCAGAAAACTCTAAGCTATAAAAGAAAGCATGTATCAATTGATGTTTTTAATTAGGCCCACTTGAATGAGTTTTTTTCTTTCAAAAGCTGTGTTTTTTAGGGGAGGAAAAACCTTCCCACTATAAAGTACTTAGCTTTAATAAAAAACGATAAGCTATAAAAAAAATTAAAAAATTACTTGTTTTTGGAAGATAAAAGTTTTAGCTTATAAAAGAAACAAAAGTCAAAAATCAAATATTTTTTAAAAAAATTTATATTTATATTGCGCTGCTCGATCTGGTGAAGTTCAGGCAGAAGTAATATTGTCGAGATCCGAGATACAGAATTTTGTTGACTGACTTCCGCAAAAAAATTTGTGAACCGAGTTGAAAGAACCGAGTTGCCAAATATGTCCACTATCATTTTCTCGAAAATTTCAAAAAAATTCCGGAACCAAACACCAGCTTATAACATTCTCCAATTGGATGCCAACCTTGATGTCGGTAGGTAAGGCTTTTTGGATCCAAAAGTTGTAGTATAATAAGGTTGGTGTGCTGGTTAAAAGTTGTGAGAGACTCGTTCGGTAAATAGAACTGGCTCATGTTCATGTTCATGTTGGAATTTGGACCTAACCCTTTTCTTATGGCACAAAGTGCGCTACAGTATTACACCCAACACTTATCTTGTTTGCTCGGGTTGGGGGACAAATATTCATGGCTCATACTTGTCCAGCTACATCACTGTTCATGTTGGTACCATTATGACATCTCTCTTCCTTGTTTAAACCTTTGACCAATAATTCATCATTTACCTGCTTTATCGACAGGTTTCCCTAGATTACGGAAATTGATGATATAGTATTTAGATTTAGTTATTAAGTATTTATTAAATATTCATTTTATTCTTAAATATAATACACTACTAATAAAATATTAGTGTGTATTTAGATTAACTTATTTTTGAAAATTTTGCCAATTTTTTTTTAATTTTTTTTGCAATATATGCACTTAATAGATATCATTTAAAAAATGTTATCAGAACTCGTTTGATATTAAACATGTATATGAGGAAGAAACATGCAAATGGATCATTCTTAATTCATGGAGGTAAAATTCTTGAAAAGTGGGGTTTTATTCCAAATATATATTATATGTTAAATATATTAATAATATAATCTAATAATATATTCATATACAAGCCTAATAAATGAAAATATAGTTATTTGAATCCATATGAACTGGAGTCTAATAGCTTACATTATCTTTAGGGTTTACTAAACTGAAGATAGCATGTTGAGTATTTCAAACTTGATACCAAGCACGTCAAAATCCTTCTATTCCAAACTCATAACCTGTAAGATGTAAAGCAATATGACATACCAAAAAATGTTTACGAATAGCAGTGGCGTAGCTTTCCCTTTTAGCCAATCAGTTACTACGCTTGAATGATTTCCACCTTTGACGTTATAAGAATGACTATAGTAAAGTATAATATACGGTGGCGCCTTCCACGTACAGTTTAAGTTTGATTTGTAAGGTGTGCATCAGTGCATGGAGCCACTGAGTGCAAGAAATTTTCATACCATATCAACCATTTGCAAATTGGTAACAAACCAGCTCCTAAGACCAAGATATATACCTTGCATACATCACAATTCACAAATACAAAATAATCAATATTAATGAGTATCACATGTAGATACTAGATTATGAATCTGCATGTAAAACAAGTATTGTGTGGTTTAATTAGTCCTACTCATATCATGATGAATTATCATGTCGCTTCTGATTTAACCTTAAATGTGTCGAATAGTAGCCAGTAGGTATGTCCCTAATAAAAGAGGTAGCAAGAATCAGATAGCAGGGTCCCATGAAATTTCTTTGGCTTGGAATAAAAGGGGGTCTATTTAGTCTTTCTTTCCTCATGAAAAAGAACTCCCGTATGTTCAATTTAAGACACTTTATATGTCCATGAGAAAAAGAAGTTACGCTTTGTGTCTTTCCATTTCAATGATGGAAAAAAAGAAGAAGGAAAGGAAATTAAGAAACAAAATATACACCAAGAGATTGTGCATGCTTTCTCGGATATGTCCCCATCTTAGACGTACGACTATCATCGTGATGTACGGTCAGGATCGAACCACTACTATTATTAAGGACTGACAATTCCCACATGGGAATATGTCCCCTACCCTTTTCCACACACATCCAGTCAAAAACAACTTCTCACTTTTATGCCATGATCAAAAACTTGTATTTTAATCATTACCACGTTTTGATTCTATTTAAGCCCTTTCCGCCAAGGATGACTAAATGCATTTTATAAGAAACCAGTTTTCAAACTACAACCATATCTAATAATTATACCTTTTTTTTTTACCTTTCTTTTAACTACCTTTCTTATTGTTCGAATTTACTATAATTACGGATATTTTTCAGGCACCGTCATGCCAATCACCACCGTTTGTTAGTGCATGCATCTTGATAGAACATATCCAAAGCCAAAATTGTCTTGATTCTTGGATACTGGATTCTGATTACCCTTTTTTTATAATCACATTTGCAAGCCTTGATTAAGTTGTTAATCTTTAATACCAAGGACTCTTATGTCGTTAAGCTTTCGGTTGGGATTCTTAATCCACTTGGGTATATGGGCCTAGCTAGCTAGCCTCAAAGAAATTAGAAGACTCGGTGCATTCAAAAGCAATTCGAAGTATACGAAAATGTTCTTCACGTTGACTTCTCTGATCATGTGCAATACAGTGAGATTATTATTAGTCGTGGATTGCTTCAAATGAAGGCTTTGGCCAATTTTATAATAGTATCAGCATTCTCTTGTTACTCCATTTTCAAAAAACAAAGAAGCATTCTCACCATAGTAGTTAAAATCTAGATTTAAATCTTAAAATCTTGATTTTAACGATTTTTTTTTGCTAAAACGATTTAGATTTCACTTAAAATCCTTTCCAATATAAAATTCCGATTTAGACATTTACTTAAGTCCCGATTTTAAGATTTAAATCCCGATTTTAACTATTAGAATGATGTTAAGCAAGTTAGTAAAATTGTTGAATATGACATTGTTGATGTTTTATCCGAAGATGAATGGATTGTGGAAAATAAAGGAACTTTATCTCATGATGAACATTTAGATGAAGACAATTTTGAATGATGTAGTTGAAGATCATGTGAAACAGAATGTCTTCGATGATAATAACTTGAATGATTTATTAGCTTAGACCCTTAGAGTGTGACAATTGTATGCAAATGTATAAGGATGGTGGCAAGTAGTCTAGTTTTCTTAAAAAAAAATTATACTTAAGCATATATATATAAAAATTTAATTTTAGAGTGCAGGTAAAATCTACGATTTGTATTACGATTTTACGACTTACGATTTTTTATTCATTTTCCGATTTTAGGTAAAATCCTGATTTTGACTACCTTGATTCTCACTGCTTTAAGTTTTGCAACGCGAAATCTTAATATTTAAAGTAATTAATAATATATGATATCAAAACCAATAATAATAATAAAAAAAATATATGTTAGAGGCTTAATTAGAGCTGGGATAATCAATTTGGTGTCCATGCAATATTGTTCTGTGGTGAAATTCATTCATCTGCTTTAAATATACTTAAGAAAAGAGAAAGGGTACCTTAGACATGAAACGATCTTGTCATGCAGTATTGTTCTTTGGCCTTTGGCTCCGTAGCTAGATTACTTTATTTCTTTTTTAGATGTGTACAGCTACATGTTTTTCTGGTATAAAGGATAATATTGTTAACACCTTGAGGGTTGGCTTAAATGGCAATATGAGTCCCAATATAGACAAATTTTCAAAAGAATATGGGTTTGAATCCTAGAGATGACCTTTGAAAATA